TGTACATAAAATACTAAAAGCAAAACTAAAATTGTGAATTCATAACATTATTTTTTCCTAAAATGTAATTTATTTTAACATCAAGACCTTTAAAACCCCTTTCCTTAAAATACATTTACAACGAATTAGTATTTCATCTAAGCCGTAATTACTTAAAACATTAGACCAAGTTTTGATTAATTACAATATCACGGTAACGCGCGAGAAAATAAAAGACACGAAGGCGTGAACTTCGTTTGTCTGCTTTAGAAGTTCATTAGGTTGATTATTGTGTAATTTTTTCGAGCACGGGAAATTTTGTTTAATCCCTTTAATTGAAGGCACTTACTCTTGCTGTAACGCCGTTAAAACTAATTATGTTAAAAGGAAAAATGTATTTCTCTAATTAACCTTCGACATGAAATCTTGGAGATTCAAGGAGTGTGTTTGGTGAGGGCAATAGTTTAAATTGAGGGGCTATAAATTTTTAACCAACTAGTTATAGGGTAAAGTAGACAGTTTATAGTTATTGGACAATTAACATTAATACTGTAAAAACGGGTTCTATAAATAGTTACCTTAAAGCCAAATCATAAGATGATATACAATTATAACTATCTCAGTCGGTAAAAATATAGAACTACTTTATTTTGGGTCCAATATAGGACAAAAAAGTTCGCACGTTACTTCGGTGGTAAGATTTTGTTTTTTTTTTTTGTTAAGAGCAGGGCTGTGTTTAAATTACAATAAAAAATATTTCAAAAAAGTGTACAGATCAGTGTTTGGTATAAATGTGTTCCTCATGGTTTAAACAATGTCACTTTAATGCGTTTTAATTTTAATACTGAAAACAAACAGTAAAATGGCCAGTGTCCAATTACTGGTTGGTAAAAAATGTAAATTTCTATCATTGCACATTTGTCCAATATCATACTTTATTTGTATCCCACATTTACAAGCCAATTCTTATGTAAAATTGTCCCCTGAATCCGAAAAGACCGTCAAAAACCATAAAAGTTAAGCAGTTTTTGAGATATAGTCAATTCCATATTATATGTAAAATTGCTTATATTTCAAAAACTGTTCTACTTTTATAACTTTTGACGACATTTTCGGATTCAGCGAATAATATTTCATAGGAATTGACTGCTAAATGTCCTGGATACAAATTGCTGTTGACGAGAATTATTAGTGGCTGCTTTTTCGCTATGGCATTTTTGACTTATTAATTTTTAGAGAGTAAGTAATATAGTGATTTCGTCGTCATCTTGCAGAATAACAGTGATTTAAATACAGTGCATGATAGAGAACATAAAAAACTAATGGCAACAAAATTAATAAGTTTGGAAAATACTTTTAACATACCACCCGAAAAAATATTGGATATATAATAAATCATCCTGTTCCGGCCTAATAAACATTATAAATGTTTCGCAAACTAGAGATACCACACTTAATGATATTTGCAACAAACTATTTCAGAAGTCAGACAAAGGAATTAGTAGTTACCTTCAGAATCCAGAAAAGGGATGAGGAATCCGAGAAAGAAATATATGAATTATATGATATTTACAAAAACGAAATAAAAAAAATTACCTAAAACAGCAATTTATTTTTAAACAATATTTAACAATTTATGTTATTTGATGTAAAGTTGTTATGTTTATATAAAAATTGTATGTCCAATAACTATGGTTCACGTGTCCAATTACTATATAAAATGTCCAATTACTATACTTTTTTGGATGTTTTTATAAAACTATTATTAAAAATTCAAATATTAATATTTTTAAGTAAACGTAAATTAAGTTTAAACAAGCAAACTATCCTTTTTTCTTATTTAATTATTGATTTAAAAAAAGTTGCAAAAATGGCGAATGTGCCGGGATTAGTAGGGGCTGGAGAAACTTTTTTATTCACATTGATTTCGTCACTTTCCCAATAAGTCTTATCAATTTAATTTGAACCTTTAAACGAATCGTTCAACATTCAGGCCATACAGTGCCATATACATCTAATAGTCATTCCAGTTGAGAAATTATATCGTGAGACATGTGTTTCAGTTTAATAAATTTATTACCGACTAAGTATTTCCGTACATATCTTGTATGGGAGTTGCTAAGGTTATGCTCTACTTATTATTATCATTTACCTATATTAATACATGGTTTATGTATTTATGATGTTTATAACATTCGATGGAAATAGAGATACACGATTAACTGGCGATTCACATGAAATTGAGGATTTTATACAGGGTGTTTAATCAAAGTTTTTTGTCGTTGTAGAAAATAAAAACATTGAGTTGGGTAATGTCTTATTATTATTTTTTAAATATGGTTTCACAAAACTTTTTCCACTGCGTTACCGAGTCCATTATGTTACCTTATGGTAACGCAATTGAATTTGGGTAACGCAATAGAATTTTTCGACAACAAAGTGGATATTTACCGTCGCTTTTATTAAAAGTAGTTTATGATAAACCAATTTAAAATTATTTGTGATTACATCCAAGGGAAAATTCCACGCAATATGCAAGTACTAAAAGGGTCCTTCACCAGCTTATAGTCAAAGAAAAAGGGTGTCTACAATTTAGAAATCTAAGTTGTTATTCTGTAGTGAGCACCACTACAAGGGATTTTGTTTATGCATTACTCTAAAATCGTACCACCCTTTGTAGTTTCTTTTTTACGTTATCTGATTAAGTCCTTTGTGTACCCCAGTCCGTTGTGATACCAATGTCTATTTCGTTACTTTTTTCAGTTTTTGTTAAAAAAAATCCTTAAAATGATTTTACTATCACTTGGTAATACCTGTTTACCTACTAATACAGTGACTAAAAGAAAATATTAATGGTATTGGAATAGGAATGGTGTCTTTTAAAAAGTAACTCAACTAACATAAATATTTAAAAAAGGCATACAATTTTTAATAAAAAATAAAACTGGAGTCAAAAGTTTGTGAACTACCCAGATAGCACCACTCGTCCAATGGACGTCCGTTTAAGATCCATTTTAAGTACATTGGTCCACGGACTAAAAATGGATGTACTATGTACGTCCATATATTTACATCCTTTGTACGATTTTAATGGACGTCCATATAGTGTCCATTTTACGTTCATAATTATTATTACAGAAATGCAAGTTAAAACGTATTGTTGGCTGCATAACAACACCCTATTGAAAATGCCATATAAAACCCATATTGAATCCGATAAGGAAACGTATCTGGTTCTATATGGTTTTATAGGTCCTATATGGAAAGTCCTGGTTTACATTACGGATTCTATATGGTTGAATATGGATTTCCATTTTAAAAATTTTCATATTCAACCATATAGGGAAACCTATCTGGAAATACATATAGAACAGAAACCAGATAAATCCATATACAACCATATACATGTCTTTATAAAGACATGTATATGGTTGAATATGGATTTATCTGGTTTCTGTTCTATATGTATTTCCAGATAGGTTTCCCTATCTGGTTCTATAGTGTTTTAGAGTGTTTTTATCTGGTTCTATAATGTAATCTTCTATCTGGTTCTATAGTGAAATGCCTGTTTCAAATACCTATATTGAACCAGATAGAAACCATATAGAATCCAGATACGTGTTTTTTATATGGTTCTATATGGCATTTTCAATAGGGCAGTTATGATCAATCTCACTGACATTCAAGCAAGCGCGTGCTATAAAGGACTTAAGCTATCAATGAAATTTGAAACACTTGTAGTATTGCAAATGTAATGTTCCTGAGTCGAATACAAGGATTTCCTGCAATGTTCAACATTGAATGTTGTAACTTTTAACAACTTTTAGAATATTTACATTCCTAGTGGGATTGTTACTGAGCCAGACAAAAGGCATTTCAGTCATGTAGAAAATTTTCTGCAACATCGCAATGAAAATACAGTCGCAAAAAACAGTCAAAGTAAGCAAAAAAGCAGGTCCTGGATGCTGGAGGAATGGTTCAAACACCTTATAGACGTCCATCGGTGGACGACTTATGGATGTCCAAAGTTGTGACATCTGGACTCTAAACGGATGTCCATGGGACGTCCATAGAAAAAAAATGGACATCCTATGTACATACAGACGTCCACGAGCATACGTCCATTGGACGTCCATACTATACCTTTGTGCTATCTGGGTAAGTACATTTTATTTCAAATTATTTTTATAACAACTTTTTTATTGAATTAAATTTTGGATTTCAAATTGGTAACACAGTGGAGACATATAAAGCTAGCTAAAAAATCTCCAAACATTTATAAAAATCCAACCAAAAGTCAATTTAAGCAAAAAATATTTTGATCTTCATTTTCCTGAAAGCGGGTGTTACTTGAAAATCACCCATTTGTCAAAACTAAGCATAGGAATATATTTATTATTTTATTTCTTCTATTTATTGTTTTTAAAAAAAATTTTCATGGATAACTTCACAGAATAAATTTTTGTAAAATTTGGCAACAAAATCGTTCTTAATTATTTATAATTTACATAATACACATTATGTAGTATAGATAACTTAGATTATGTGTGAATGTGTTTTGCCGGTAAGAAACATTTGGAGAGCGATTCCTGGCAGATAATGCGACGTATTGAGGCATTTTATTTAGATTTCTGATGTCGTGACCGAGGATAATTACTCCGGATCCAACCCTTAGAAGTGATTGCCGACACGAAGCCATTATAAGCTGGAAATAACTGCTCTTAGACGAGCCAATCGGCCGCGGAACCGCATCATACGTTCAGACCTGACTTATTACAATCATCACGAAGTTAAAGGGTGGTTTCAATTGAAAACAACTTTGATTTCAATTCTGTTACAAAAATAACTGCTCCATTTTAGTTTAGAGTTCAGGGGTACAGTCTAAATTTAGTCCGCAAACCAGTTTTTTGTATTACTTACCAAGTGTTAAAATAGCCACTAAACTTTAGGGAAAAAATACATAATCAAATAATATAGAAAGCAAAATCTTAATACTCACCTGAAATAGTCTTGAAATAAAATTGGGATTATGGATTCTTGATAAATGAAACATTTGGATGGGTTAACTTAGAAAAATTTATTTCTACATTTTATGTCTAAAACTTTTTGAAGCTCTTTTTGGAGCTTGTGCCTTTTGTCACCTTTAATACGTTGAATCTGACGGTTTTGGATAGTGGACGACATTCACCAATGGTAACAACATCTCCGATTTCAACGTCTCTGTAACAATTATAAAAATGTTAAGTTTTAGTAATATAAATAATAATACAAAAATATTATTATTAGAGTATGTTTTATTAAAGACGCGTAATTAGAACGTTAAAAATGTGCCAAATGTGAGCCACAAAGCGGATTTTTTTTAAATCCGAAGTTTTCAAAATTACCAAATTTTTTTTCGCAACGCCAATTTCTTCCAAAATCCTTTAAAATATCTCAAAAATCCAAAAATTTCATGGTTTCAAAAATTCCGAATTTTTTTAAATTTTCATCCAAGATGTTTGCACATTATTTGTGAGTACAATACTGCCGTGCTAAGCTAATAAGCTAATAAAGGACAAAAGATAATTTTTATTGTTTTAACAACTAAAATTGTTTTTGTATTTACTTATTATTGTACTATGTTCCACATCCAAAAGTCCCACATGTGACTGATACAAATAATTAGTTAATAATAATTTTTTTAAAATAATGCAATATATGTATTTTTTTGTAATTTGGAACACAAATAAAAACATATATTCCATTATTTTCAGAAAATAGGACAAAATTAGCTTGACACCAACAGAAAATTAACCTTAATTATTTGTATAAAAGTCACGTGGACTTTAGGGTGTGGAGCATAGTACAAAATAGGGTTTTAAAGTGTAGGTTAAAATTGGGGGAAAACCTGTTTTTCCCCAGGCCTTGGAAAAGTTGTCTTTTTTGGGAAAAATTGATTTTTTTTTAGAAATATATGTACATATTTTAAAAAAGTAGCAAAAACATTATTTTAATTTAAAAAAAATATCCTTTATTACAGATAAAAAACCTAAATTGAATTGAATTGATTTTAAACTGATTTAAGAAAATAAAAGTAAACGTTATATATACTGTGAGTTGGGTCTTTTTGCAAAAAAAAATCCATTGAAAATATCCAATTAGAAAATAATGAATTAAAGTTAAATTACAAAATTATACTTTTATAAATCGAAGTGTAAAATAAGACGAAAGTTATGTTAATACAGCTCCGAATATGTTCTTTTTGCGGCCCGGTAGAAAAAAATAGAATCTTACTGAATTAAAATAAAAGTAATAATTATTATATTCTTCATAATATATGATTATAATCAGCGTCGGAAATTCACTTTTTTCTTGATTTTATCTGTAAAAATTTGCATTACCTTTTGAATAAATTGATCAATTTTTCTGAAAATTTCTCAATTTTTCCGTTTTTTTTACGAAAAAAAAACGGTTTTTATTTCGCCGGCTCAATTTTTTCCAAAATTTTAAAACCCTAGTACAATATCAAGTAATAAAGGACAAATAATCATTATAATTGCTAAAACAATAAAAATTAATGAAACTTATTAATTTTTAGTTTTTAACTTTTTTCAAAAAAATTTAAATTTTTAAAATTCTAGAAATTTAAATATGTTTTTTAATTTATAATCTCCAAAATCTTTAAATCTTTTTAAAATAACTAAAATTTTCCAAAAAAAAATTTCCAGCTAAGATGTTTAAACATTCTTTGTGACTACAATGGCACAAGTTTTTTTTATTATAATTTTTTAAAGCCTTAAAACGATCATTTCCAAAATTTTTAAATTTTGCACAAAAAAAATTCCAAAATTCTCGAAATTTACAAAAATTTTTAAAAATTCTGAAATCTTCAAAATCTTTATATCTTTTTAAAATCCCTTCAAAATAAAAAGGGCAGAAAAATCAAGGTCAATAGCCTTTTGGGTAACCAATAAAGTGTTTTAAAATAAAAAAGTTGTAAAAATTCCAGATTCAAAAAATTCCGAAATTTTTTGAATTTCCCAAAATTTCCAGCAGATGTTTAAACATCCTTTATGACTACAAAGGCACAAGTGTCTTTTATTATAATTTTTATTTAATATTTTTTAAAGCTTTAAAACAATAAGATGTAAAAATTTCCATTTTTGTTAAAAATTATTAAATTTTTAAAAAATTGGAGACAATAAAAATTATTGCATTTATTTATTTTTTAAAGCTTTAAACTGTTAATTTAAAAAAAATATTAAATTTCTAAAATGTCTCGAAATTTATAATTTTTTTTTTAAATTCACAATGTCCAAAATCTTTACCCAAATCTTTTTAAAATTGCCATGAAATTTTTAAGATTATTAAATTTACCAAAATCTTTCTTAATTACTAAAATTTACAGTTTCAAAATTATAAATTATATATTTTTAATAAAAAATACATTTTATTTTTTAGTTTACTAGTTATAAATACCTGATTTTTTTTTTTTACAAAAATTATTTTTATTTAAATATTTAATATTTATAAAAAATGACAAAAACGAATATTCAATATTTATCTGTGGGTTAAGAATTTTGGGACAACTAAAAGTTAACCTCAACCTCAAGAAAATGAAATTTTAAGTTGTATATTTTATAGAAAAAATCTAATAAATAAAATTATTATTATAATATATTAAAAATTGTAATTCAAAATATTATCATGTGAAATTAAAAAAGTTAATTAATAAAAAACATGAAATTGTAAAAATAAAAACAAACAAATCTTATAAATTAAAAACCAAAAACTCACCTGAAGCAAGGTGACAAATGTACAGACATATTCCTGTGTCTCTTTTCGAAACGGCTGTATTTCCTAATAAAGTGAAGATAATCACGACGAACAACAATTGTCCTCTGCATCTTCATTTTCTGGACAACAGCAGTCAAGATACGTCCACGAATTGATACGTTTCCAGTGAACGGACATTTTTTATCAATGTAGGTTCCGTCAATTGCCTAAAGAAATGTTATTTTACATTTTGTTGTGTTAAAGGCTTACCAGAAGCTAATTCCTATGCCAATATTTAATTTAACATGTTAAATAGTTATCTCATATTAGGTTGTGTTAAATACCTACCTTGCAGTTGTTATTTTACATGCAAGACCCATTTATAATCTAATGCTACAAAGTAAAAAAGCTAAAATACAGTGTCAACTTTAGTAGTCTCAAGAATATTAACTTGCCAATTATTATCATGAAATATAACCATATTTTAGCTTAAACTCGATACCCATGAACCAAAGCAGCTTAGCCACCTCCGTTTCCAACAAATAGCCCTGGAAAGCGAATAAAAAAGCGTACAAACCTCACGGGGAGTCTTAAATCCAAGACCCACACTACGGGACAACCTGACTTTTTTGGTGTGGTTCTTCTTGTTTTGGAACACAGTGTGTTGCTTTTGAAAGGCCTTTTCAGTCTAGCAAACAAAAAGGAAACTATTAGTTAGGGGTTTATTATGTACCTCGCGAGGAGTTTTGAATCCCAAGCCGACTTCACGGTGATAGCGAAGAGACTTGCCCTTCTTGCCGCCCAAACCTTTCTTGCGGTTCAAGAAAATTGTCGGTTGACGTTGGAATGATTTCTCATTCTGCAAAATTCAAGGGTTTTACAAACAGTAACCTACAAATCGTGTAAAAACCACGTGTGAACGTAAACACAAGTTAATACTACTTTTATACTTAATTTCAAAGAGCTACAGTATAAATCCACGATTTGTGAGTTATATTTTAACAGTTTACATTATAAATACTTAATAATTCAGTAAATATAAGTAAAAATGCCTTGGAAAATTTTACTTACTTGGTCCGCCATGTTGACAAGGTAGAGAAAGAAATTTGACAGAGGAAGAGTCAACTAACAGAAGGGAAACCGTAGGATTGTGGGTAAATTATTGCGCGGCAAATTTAAAATAAGACTTTTTAAAAATTAATTTACTGATTTAATATTTATTTTCGGGTTTAAAGGTTTAATGGTTTATACACTCTTCATATATTTTGTAAACTTCTATCATACTAAAGATGTATTTTATTTTCAAAATTAAGTTTATTTAATTGGTTTGATTTTCTATTTTTATTGTTGATTATTTTAGGTATATTTTCCTATTTTCATTTTTCTTGATGTTCTTATAGTATATAGTGTACAAATTATTAATTTTTCGTTAATTTCGTCTTAATTTTTGAAAATAATAATTTATATGCAAAAAGTACATGATTATGTTGGTACTGTGTGTCAATATTCTTTGATATTTTAAATATTTAAAATTGGTACTTCCTGATTTTAAAAACTTTGACATTCAGTGTTGCCGATTTGCAAGTAATTACTTACATTTGTTATGTTATGTTCTGTGATTTGTAAGTATTTTGACTACTTGTAAGCACTATTGTAAGGATTAGTTGTTTGTAAGGATTTTGCAAGGATTTTAATTTTTTTACTTAAAGTAAAAAAACAAAATTCAAGCCGTAAAATGAAATAATTTGTTAAAAATGTTATAAATTGTTCGTTAACTTGTGCTAATTTTATTTCCTACTGAATAAAATAATAAAAAAGTTGATCTATAGATTTGAAATTCCCGGGTAGTAAGATGATCTTTAATTTTTTCTCTTCCAGCAAGGCAAGAGGCGCAAAGTAGCATAATTTGTTCTTTCTAAAAGTTGATTTAATATAATAATGCCGTCCTAAGCGTAAAGGTCATATCTGCAATATTTTGTAGTAAAGGAGAGAAGGAAATTTTAAAAAACAATAAAAAATGGCTATTGTGCTTAACTACCAAATATTGCAGATATAACGTTTTGTCCTAGAACGATAGTTTTTGGTAGTTAAGAAAAAACGTTATTCTTTATTGTTTTTTTAAATTAAAATTTTCTTCTGTCCTTTACTTCAAAAAATATTGCAGACACGACCTTTAAGCCTGATTTATATATTGCCTTCCTCCCGTAAAATATTAACAATACGAAAACCATGGTGATATTATAAACATCACCATGGTTTTCGTATTGTTAATCTTTTACGGGAGGAAGGAAGGCAATATATAAATCAGGCTTTACGCTTAAGACGGCAGAATAAACCGAGTACATGTGCAAGGATTTTGTAAGGATTTTAATTTTTGGCAAGTATGTAAGGATTTTGACGCACAAGAGTAATCAAATTTCTAAATTTGGATTGGCAACACTGTTGACATTCATCATTTAAATGTCAGAATTAAAATAAACAGGGCCAAAGATAGCCGAAAATTCCATACAAAAAGAAATGTTCTGGGCCTTAGTCACCTATATTTCATTAAAGGTAAAGTTATTGCATTTTTATCAAGTTTCATTTTAAATTTTCAAAATTTATAAACATATTCTTAACCTAAAATACCTAATTTAAATTTAACAAAACCACAACTAAATTCTCCACTAAATTATTTTGTTTTACTCACAATACACACAACAAGGTCTGTTCTAACTCGTACTAAAAATAAATGCAATACTGCACAAAGTTTAACGGCGGCCATTTTTGTTGTTAACAATTATTGTGCTTTGGGTTTGTGCTGTTTATACAGATTAATAAACGTTTTAAACGTGCCGTTTGTGAAAAATAAACCTTATTCTCCTATCAAACTGTCAAATTTAAGGTTAATTTACCATAACCCATAATTGTTGGTTTTAGTCAATTAATTATAATATTAAGCCAATTATAAATTTAGGGTCCCGAGAATTTGAAAACTAAACCTTCAAATGTTTGGGGAACAAAATAATAATAATGTTGGTATTATTAAAAAAAATACAAATTTGTATTTTTGTGTATAAAAGGTTTTAACAAACAAATATATTGTAATATTTTTAGAAAATAAGACGAAGTTAGCGTTAATTTGACAGATAGATAACCTCAATTTTTTGTCAAATGTCGAGGTGGGACTTTTGTATGTGAAGTATGTCATAATTTCTTTTATATTTTCCTATGATTTTAACTTACCCAAAATTTTAAAACCACCTTGAAATTTGAATACAAATAATTGAGGTTATCTATCTCAGTTCAATTCTAATTTCTTCTTTTTTTCTATTCTAAATTAAGACCCTGAATTAAAAGTAAACTTTTTGTTTTAAACAGTTTTGTTAATTGTTTTAAAATAAATTGTATTTTTATAGTTAAAGGCTAAATAAAAACAGGTTTTTAGTCAAAAATATATTAAAACATCAACATAATAAATCAACAAGTTTTCAACAATTTTATTCTTATTAACAAAAATATTAACTTTCTTATTGTACCTATAGGTATACCTAACAAAACATATGTAAGTCAAACAAAATAAAACTATAAACTTAATTTAATTAACTTCTATTTCAGTGAGTATATCAGTGAGACTAGTGAGGATTGAATCCCAATAATCATTCACATTTTCATTGATTTCTGCACTCTGTGTAAGTTTTTCAATATAATATTCATATATGGCCTCTAAGGCCTCTTTACAGCGCAGTATATTTTCTGCATCCCTAAAATAAAAAAAATATTAAAAAACAACTCAAGCAGCATTTTTGGTTCCAAAAACAATTACCAAAGTGGTGATAACTTTCAATAGATACGGCTACTTTAATTTTTACTTAAAAGTAATTCTAACTTTTAAATAGCAATATTTTGTAACAGAAACTTAATTCTTCCCTTAAATGGTAACTATAAAGTAATAAACATTTAAGTAAAACTTGGTTGCCCCCAAGAAGACTTTGCAACTTTAAAAAAGGTGTTATAAGTAAAAAAAACTTCCAAGTAAATTTAATTTGTAGCAGTTTCTTTTGGTTGCTACCTAAAGATTACATTATAATTATTTTTACTTTGTAGTCCCTTTTTAAGTTAAAATCTCAAAACTGGAACATGAGTTAAAAACTACAAAGTTAATAACTTAAAAGTTATTATTTTAGTATTTGGAACGTTTATGGTACTATCCAAAACTACCGTAAAGTAAATTAAGGTAGAAAAAAACTTTAAAGTAGCGAAAACTACTTCAAAGGAAAATGCTTCTTATCGGCCATTTTTTACTGTACAGTACCACGTGGTAATGTAAATAATAAATTATTTTAATTGTTTGAAAATGGTTGTTTACTTTTTAATAAATAGTAATTTTGTTGGTAATAGACGGTATTATAATTAAATAAAAAATTATTAATAAATATTAAGATTTTTTAATTTATAAACATTATTAAATAAATAATTTGTTTATACTTAAATATTGATGAAGCGCATTTATTTTACAAAAACCAAGTTCATAAGTTCAACAGTAAAATTTAAAGGGTTTATAAATTTACCTGCCTAATTAAACATTATATTGTTATTCTGGAGGTTATAAACTACCAGTACATATTTAATAAACGACGGCATTGAAAAGCCAAGTCCGTAGTGGTTCCATTTAAAAAAGGAGGGATAGTACAATCTAATATAAGTTTGACAAAGACAGTTAATATAGAAGTAAAAACAAATAAATAAAAGTAATTATAACGATCTAGCAACGATATTGTGTTCTTAAATTATTTTATTCACTTTTAACTTACCCTTTATCACATAAAAACTCTATATTTGTATCTTTAACACGGATTTTTACTTGATTTTTGCTTTTGATCTTGCTGGATTGTTCCTGCTCTAAAACCTGAAAAACAGGGTAAAAGATAAGAATTTTTCACACATTGAAAACACCCTGTATAAAGTTATTAAAAATACTTACATCAACCAAAAGCAATTTCTTGTGAGTAAACAATAAAACTGTTAAATCAGAAATCAAACTTGACTCTCTAATGATGGTAGTTTTTCTTATGTTTGATCTGGTTTCGTTTATGTACAATAAATAATTTGAAGGATATTTCGTTCTCTTGCAGTTAACACTTTCAGGGGTGATTGTTGCTTTTTGGTCATGCCTATGAAAAAATATATATAAACAAAAAAAACAACGTAAAACGTGTTTACCTAGTCAGCAAAACATTCACGTTATTTTTTGTTCTGTTCTTGACCACATCCCAGTTGCGATGTTTCAAAACAGTACCGATTCCAGAATAGAGCACAGCTTTAACTAATTCATCGTTATCTGAGAAATCATCGGAAACTGGGAGTACGTCATATAAACCGTTGTACAAGTAGTCAAAATGCAGCTTCCTCAACTCTAAAATAAAAGATATATCGATTAAAACATACCTGGTATATTGATATGCTGACTGTACTGGGCCAAAAAAATCGACCATTTTTTTTGCAAAGTATATCGAAAATATTGTTTGGGTGACAAACAAAATTATTGTGAAAGTTTGAGTCCATAATATTAATATTAAGAGGTCCATCATCGCAATTTTGCGATTGAAACTTTTATACCTTCTTTCTACATCTAAATGCAGTAGTTTTTTTTTTAAAAAATCTTGTCCATTGACAACTTTGTTTTTATTTGTATTTTTTTCTTCACTGTGTCTTGGAAGAAATTTATGATAATATAAATAAAAAAAACACAATATTGGCAGTTTTTCTCGATTTCTGTAAAGCATTTGATACAGTGGACCACCAAATTCTCCTTGACAAAATGAAATTGCTTGGCATTATTGGAAATCCTTATATCTTGATAAAAAATTACCTGGAAAACAGAAAACAATTTGTCATAGTGGATGGTGATGTAAGTGAACAGCTGGAAATAAGTGATGGTGTGCCTCAAGGATCGGTTTTGGGACCTATCTTGTTTCTTGTATATATAAATGACATATGTGACTGTGAACTGGATGGATACATCACACTGTATGCAGATGACACCGCTCTATTTTATGCAGGAAATACTGATCAAATATACAACACTGCACAAAGAGATCTGGATAAAATATGCTCGTGGACAAATGATAATTTTATAAAGTTGAATGAAAATAAATGCAAGTATATGGTGTTTAATAATAAACTATCAACAAACTGTGTTTTACAAATTTATAATGAACTTTTGGAAGAAGTTAGTGAAATTGAATACCTTGGACTAATTCTAGATAACAAACTAAGTTTTGAGAAACATGTGAATAAGATAGCTGCCAAAATTAAAACCATGAACTATATTTTATATCAACATTCTTTTAAATTTAACACAAAAACAAAATATCTTATTTACAATGCACATGTTAACTCACAATTAACCTATCTCACTGCTTTTTGGGGACAAACAACACAAACAACATTAAACCAATTACAAACCCTTCAAAACAAAATTATCAAAACTATATTTAATAAACCCATTTTAACCAACACCAAAGAACTCTATGAAAACTTAAAAATACATAACATAAAATCTCTAATAAAGATTAACAGCGTAAAACTAATTTATGGAATTAAACATAATCTTATTTGTGGTAATATTAACCTAGTCAGGAATTGTGATATTCATAAATATAATACAAGAAAAAAACAGCTATACTACCTTACTGCTTGTACCACAAATGTTACTCAAAAAAGAATAACATATAAAGCACTACAATGGTTTAATGAATTACCTGGTGAAATTAAGGAACTGACCAACTTAGATAAATTTACAAAGGCTGTGAAGCAATATTATATAGACTCTGAAATGTGATATTTAAATGTGATATAGATTAAAATATACCTACCATATTTATCTACTTTATATATATTATAGTTAATCTTGTATTTATGTTTATATTTATAGTTATTTGTTATATCTGCTTATGTAATGCATTCCTGTGATGGATTTGTTGTAATCTTTTTGGGAAATAAATAAATTAAAAAAAAAAAAAAAAATTAAGAAATTTAATTTTTTTAATAACTTTTTTTATTTCAAAACGTATCGATTTGAAATTTGGACAAAATGTAGATCTTACTAATGCAGGGTTGCCACCGATTTGTCTAAACCAAATTCCCTGACTTTTCCAGGAATTCCCTGATTTTTTTCCAGACAAAATGTGTTCTTTTTGGTTTCCTGACCCTCAATGATTTTTTTAACTGGACTTTGAGTGTTGGTTTTTAAAATTTTAAGTATGGGGCCATTCAAGTATTACGTAAGCCGTAATTTTGTAATTTTTCCTTTGTAAGCTTACCATTAAAAATATACCTTTGGTGCTTATGTAATACTTGAATTATAACGATTAATTAAAAAATTAAACTTTTATTATAAAATTCAAAAACATTAACAAAGAATCAATACTTCTTATTAAAAAAAAAACAAACAAAAAATTTTCTGTAGCTAATTTTTTCGGGATAATTTTTAATTTAGGTTTGCGTTTCTCCAGAAACACCCTGTATAGCATTATATTAAAAATAAAAAATGCAAAATAATAATTATAAAAAACAAGAAGTTTATACATATATCAAATAATAGTTAATTATCAGTACTTTAACGTGACTTTTTAATCCTTAAAAAATGGTAAAATTTTAAATTAAATTAAAATTGTCCCCAGCGCCCCCTGTATGTTAAAATCTAAAAAAAAATAATACCTGGATTTATTTCCATTAATAAGGTCTACATTTTAACTTAATTTCAAATCGATACGTTTTTAAATAAAAATGTTATTACAAAATATCGAAATTTATCTATTTTTAACACAGTGGACTTAAGGCCTGAAAACCACAGCGGTGGATGAAATTAAAAAAAAAAAAATGTACCATTTAGATGTAGAAACAAGGTTGAAAAAATATATTCAATTCTGGCATCACTTGCAAACAAATGTCCAAAATTTGTTCGATTTTTGCGCGAAACCATTGTTATTATTAATATTATGGACTTTCAAAATAATTTTATTTGTCACCCCAAACAATAATTTCGATATACACTCACAGGCAAAATAATCGATCCACACAAATTTTCGATGAATTTCAATCGCAAATAACTTTTTTATTTGATTTCGGATTTAAACGAATATTAAAGAATATTGTAGATAAATTAATGGACAATCGCTCACATTGTAAAAAATTACTAAAAAATAGACGTACGTTTATAATATACAGGTTAAACAAAAAGATGTTTTTTACCATAAGTTTAAGACACTCTGTAGAGTGGCAAAACCGTATATTGTTCTAAATTAAGTTTTAATTATCAAGTCACATCTATTTTTAACAGTTTTGTTTTTGGTTCACCTTGATATATTTATTTTTGTGGAAAATATGGATTAAAAAAAACATTTCAATTTCCAATATTTTTCCTGTATGAAGAACTAAGGTTGCTATGGTCCATCCATAGTCTATGGAGGATGACAGTGACAGTTTTGTTGAATCATCCCATACTTGGACATGTCATATACAGCTTTCAAAAGCTATCAAATTGTTTTTTGTAAATTAATGTGTTAATTTTGAGGTGTCTTTTTACTTTTAAAAATGTCTCTGACTGATGTTGCCCTTTGTACTTTACTTCTTGTGACGTTTAAAACACTTGCCACGTAATACTGTGACCGTCCATCCTGGATTAAATTAATGGCTCTGGTAAAATCAGTCGGAGATATATCCATTTTTTAAAGTAAGAATACACCTCAAAATTTAAACATTAATTTGCAAAAAACAATTTGATAGCTTTTGAAAGCCGTGTATGACATGTCCAAGTATGGGATGATTCAACAAAACTGTCACTGTCATTCTTCATAGCCTATGAATGGACCATAGCAACCTTAATTCTTCATACAGAAAAATATTGGAAATTGCAATGTTTTTTAAAAAAATCATATTTTCCACAAAAATAAATATATGGAGGTGAACCAAAAACAAAACTGTTAAGAATAGATGTGACTTGATAAATAAAACTTAATTTAGAACAATATACGGTTTTGTCACTCTTCAGAGTGTCTTAAACTTATGGTAAAAAACATCTTTTCGTTTAAACCTGTATATTATAAACGTACGTCAATTTTTTAGTAATTTTTTAAAATGTGAGCGATTGTCCATTAATTTATCTACAATATTCTTTAATATTCGTTTAAATCCGACATCAAATAAAAAAGTTATTTGCGATTGAAATTCATCGAAAAAAAAAAGTCGATTTTTTGGCTAATGCTGACATACTTTCCACTGTGACCAATCTGTTGGGAATCAGCTCAGTTTCCCTGCAGAACTTTTCCAGCATAAACCTATCCCCCTCTTCCACAAACTCCAGGTACTTTTCGAATATCCTCATGAGAGCCAGATGATCGCTGCTACGGCTGAATTGCCTCTTGACTTTCTGCGTGGCCTCTTTGTCGGACAGACCAAGCGAAAAAAGCTCGGAATCCGCGGAAAAAAGCGTCACAATGTCGATTATCGGCGTCGCGCACTTGAAGACCACCGAATTCACCATCGCCTTCGCCAATTTCGGCTCAACCTGGAAGTTGGACAAAGTCCTCCCTAGAGGGGTAATCTTCTCGGAATCGTCCAATAAATCCAAACCTTTTAGATCGTCCACTGCCCGCAAGGTGGAGCCACTTTCGGGCGGACAAGGCAACCGACTCATAAACTCCAGCGCGTCCATGTTGTCGCTGATCACTTTGGCATCCAAAACGATTTTAGTGAGGGACGTTCGCAAAATTTCGGGCATGGAGTAATCGTCGAATTTTTCGAAGGCCGATTTGGTGTACAAATGAAAGCACTCGCCCGGTTTCACTCGACCGGCGCGGCCTTTTCTTTGCGTCGAACTTGCCTTCGAAATCCAATGGGAGTCGATGCAATTATAGCCTCAAAAAGAAATTAATATTGGCACGGTGGTCAAAACTTAAGTATGGACGAACAAAAATGCCAACCAAAACTGATAGCATATTTTGATTATAGACCCTAACATGTATTTAAAGTTTTCTTTTTTGTTTTTCTATTTCTATATATTATTTTGCAATTATTGTACTAAATCTACCTGTAAAATTTTAATAAAATTAAGCAAAATAATAAACTTTGTATCATTTAAATTACTTTACTCCCCAGTATTAATTTATCGAGTCACCTATTATTTTTTACCACTCAAAACAAAACATAACAAAAAAACGAAGATTTATATCTTAAATATTTTTTATAACAAAAAATACTGGAAGGTTGTCTATGAAATAATTACAACCTGCAAATTTTGTAAAACAATAATTAAGGTGGTTATGAAAAAAATTGCTATACGTTATAACGCAAGTGACATTTTGCTTTAGTTGTTTATTTAATGTATACTTTATAAAGTTAAAAATAGTATTTTAAAATGAAAATTAAACCGAAATTCAAGTTAAGCCGTGAAGAAAATCGAAAGAAGGTATGTGCTGGCTGTGGAGACAAAATTGTTTTTGGTAATCGAAAAATTCAGAGTTTAGGGTTTCTGAGAAAATATAAAAATTACTGCAGACTTTTTCAAACGAACACTTTAACTTAAGTGATTCAAAATTACCTACTTCAATATGGTAAAAACGGTATTTTTGCATAGCCACAATTGCCAAATTTTCAAAATTTAGAAATTGCTAGAGAATTTCGCGGCAGCCAAGAATGTATGTGCTTTATCTGCAAAATGGCAAGATATAAAGGGCATAAAAAATTATTAAGGGAAGAGGACGGACGAACGAACTAAAGTTTTGATATGCTCTTCCTTTCTAGGGATATCGCTAGATGTAAGAAGCATGTTTGTACAGAGACTGAAGAATTTAAAAATACTGTTTCCATGTTAAAAACAATTCCATAAAAAACCCAAGAAAAAGTTTTACTGAAAATTTAAGGCAAGCAGTAATCGATTTTGCTTTAAAGAATCTTTAGTAACTGTTATTTATTAGTTTTGTATTAGGTACCTTAAAACAATAAATAAACTGTATTTTACATTATTTTGTATTTATAATGTAATTTATCCATATTTCAGTCATGTATTTGCCAAATTTTTAAAAGTGCTTTATTAAATACCAAAACTAAAATTATAATGTTTTTTTGGTAAAAAGCATCATTTTTTGAAATTTTTGTGTCGTTTTTTTAATTACTAATTAATTTGAAAAGGCAACAAAGTAAATGGGTTTCGGTATAAGCATTATTCTTCGACTATTATTTGATATGTTTTTATTCACATCATGCCTAAAGTACCCAAAAATTCATCTCCAATCTTATTTATTAAGTCTTATCAAAATTTAATATCGAATTGAAGTATAAAGTCGCCTTTATCTACTTTATCGTTCAAGCACACTAAAGTGCATCTATTAATTATCGACATTTAAAAGTTAAACTTTAAATTGTATTTTTACTTGAAAGTGATTTTAAGAACCAAAAATGAAAAAAGAGCAGGAAATGGAAGTGGTAATGGAAGTGGCAGAGAAAGAGAAAGGAGACGAACATTTATGTCGTCGTTGTAAATTTGTTTTGTTTTTGTTGCGGTACCTTTACGCCCAAGAAAAACCAACGCAAAATTTCATTACAAAATTTTATGAGATATACCTACTACTTTAATTTTGCAGGAATATTAAATGCACCTGATATACGACGTTTAATGAAAGATCAAGCATGCAAAAATGCTCTCAAAGTTGACGAGCTTGTCGCATATGGCAGTATTAAAGCTGTCATTGAAAATGTTCTTGGTTCATATCGGGCCTAAAATTGGCGCCAATTTATTGAAAAAATACATTTTCTTTTTTTTTCATCCTGATAAATTTGCCGAACTGGTGAACATGGAGAACGATTTCACCAAGTAACTGCAAATCTAGAGCATTAGTAGATATCTATGGGTATAGCGAAAAGAAGTTGGATTCATTACTAGGAGACATTTGCTGGAATTTGCAGCAAAAGATGTACGACGATGATGAGGATTAAGCACAATAATACTATAATCCAATTCGAAATTTGATACGATTTAATAAATTTAAGGTAGAAAAAAGCAAAATTATGCAATGCATTAAATTTTGAGGGCTTAATTTGGATAAAAAAAAACTGAAACTTGTTTACTTTGTTGCCCTTTCAATTTAATAATTAAAATAAATGACAAAAAATCTCAAATTATGTTTTTTTTTTACATAAAATACATTTTGAGGTGATTGAGCAGAGCATTTTATTACGAAATTATTTTAAATCCTAGACGTCCTAGAGAAAAACTAATGACATTTTTGAAATCAGCGGCCCAAAATTAGTTAAACTAAGCTGGCCGGAGTACATAATGTTAGGAAAAAAAGTTTGTAAAACTATCATAATGTTATCATACCTAATGGTTGTTGAAATTTAAATGAGTAAGTAGGTGCATTTTTAATTTTACAAATTTTAGAACTCTTATTACAGACAAAATACCGCCAAAGAATTTAGAAGAAAATATAAAAAAAATTCTTACCTTTTTCCATGTCAAAGCGGTTTTGCTTGAAAATACCAGTATCAACCACATATGCAACATCATCAATGGTAACGGATGTTTCTGCTATATTTGTAGCTAATATTAATTTTCTCACACCCGGTGGAGGCCGTGAAAATACTTTAAATTGCTCTTCTACATTTAACCTTGAATGTAAACAATACAATGACAAAGTACCATCAAATGGTAGAACATTTTGTAGTTTTTTAATGTCGTCCCAACCAGGTAAAAACACCAAAATTGCACCTAAAATGATGAAAGCAAAGCTGAAATACCAAAATTTTACACTATGGATAATTATTATCAAATATCAAATTTTTTCGATGAACCACGAAGTTACTAGAAAATGGCATTTTCCTTAAAAAAATAATAACACAATTTAAAAAAATTGAGTGAATTCACTTAATTTTTTATATTTTTTTGTATGAAGTAAACCTTAACCTACAAAAAAATTGTAACGATCCAAAACATTTTTGGTGAAGTTATCGCATTTTCAAGAAAAAAATGTCATTCGTAAAAAGAGAAAAATTGATGTTTCTGTCAATTTTTCAGAAATTTCGTACGAGGAAACAAAAATTACCGTTTCACTAACATTTAAATGTAATGTGAGAAATTTTGTATTAAAAATTTGTTGACTATTATTTAAATGACAAATTTAAACTAACAATTTTGTAGAATAAAATATTAAAACTACAAATTAGTGTATAGAATAGTTTATAAACTAGGTGCATACTATACTTTTTCTACGACAAATACTTATCATTATCTTAAAATGATTTAAATCAAAAATTTGTATAGAGCGCCATCTATGAAACAATAAGGAAATCTGTGTGTCACCCTCAAATGTCACATTTTTTATAAACACAGATTATAAAGGTTTTAAATCGAAATATATTTCTTGAAAATTGACAGTTTTTCACAATGAAAGTAAAGAAAATGTTTTATGAGCACTTTACAGTGGAGTCAGTGCCCTAATTTAAGTTATAGTTTACTGCCGGCGAAATTAAAAGGTCAGTACAATGTTCATATAAACTTTTCAAATATTGGCGTTGAGAAACTATTTAATACTTTTGTATTTTCGTATTGAGATAATAAAATAATTTTCACATTTAGTATTATTTTACAAGAAAGGCACTTTATTTTAACGATTGTATGACATTTGACAACTGTCAACTAACTTAAAACTAACTTCAGCCCGTGACTAAAGCGCCATAAAGCCACAACTTGTCAATGTGTATTTAAAAGATCACTTAGTGTTATGGAAACATGTACGATAAAGGGCGTTTTAAAGGTGGGAGTAGAAAAAATATTTTTTGATTATCAATTGTTTTGAAATAAAAAAAAATTAACTTTTTAAACTATTATGGTAGAAAATGTTTTATTTGTGGTTTTATTTTAAATTTCTTGACATTACTAAACACACAAATACTAAAAAATTGAACTTTACCAATTTTATCTAATTAATTTTATAAAAAAAATATTTAGAATTTACAAAATTCTGCACAAATATTTTACTAAAAAATATTTTTATTAAAAAATGATAGTAAGAAGTTTTTGCAAAAATTTATTAGAAATAATATTGTAGAAGTAAATTTTGTCTTTCAATATTTGATATATGTATGATAAATATTTTAAATTTATAAATGTATACATTTAGGTTTATAAACCTAAAATTTTTAGTTGGGAAAATTTTAAACCAAAAAACTTTTTAATTAAAAAATTATTTAATGAATGTTAAAACGGCGTACAATAGATTAGAAAAATTTAGTTGAAAAATAACGACACAATAAATTGGGGCGCAAAATATTGGGCGTTCAAAACTATACTCCCCTGTATATTAATAATAATAATAAAAATAATTATTGCAGGGCTCCCACGATAAAATTTTATTTAGGAATTTAGGAGATTTTTTGGAGAATTTGAGAAGAAATAAAGTGTGCAAATAAACTTCTGTAATTACATAAAAAAAGTCTACACTGTACCTATAATAAATACAATGTATTACATTGACTAGTTTTTTAATTATTTATATTTTGAGTTGGGAAAATTTGTTAACTAAAAATAATAATTATAATAATAATTATTGTGGTGGTGATCTTGATACTAAAAAATCTCATAATATATAAAATATGAAGTTTGCATAATACAGCAAAATATTCTTTAAATTGTTTACTATTTTAGCTATCATTTAAAAGAAAATTAAAAATTATTTTGTTTGATATACAGACTGTATAGAATCAAGTAAGTAAGTCTGGAGACAAGAATGACAAATTATATTCTGATCAGAGAAAAAGAAACAAACTTTAATTGGGCGTGGTTTAAACCAAGCCATTCGTAATTACGAACCATAGTTGCCAGGTTGTTTTAAATCAGAAGAGAACGATTATAATTATTTAATAAATAGTTTAATTTTATTTGTTTGAAACTTTAAAAATAACAAAAAAATTAATATGTCAAAAATAATTTGATTTAGTTAATTTTCTTACTTTTAATATTAAAAAATAAGTAAAACAACCCTTTTAGGAAACAATAATAGCATATGGCAACAGCGCGGCATGCAGCCAGATACAAGGGCATGCAGTTTGATCTACTGTGTTTGTTCTAAGGTTTGTTTAGTAGTTCCGACGCTGTCGTAGGGAAAAGTGTATAGTTTTTAAGAAATACATTTTCGCCATTAACTGGAATTTAATGGATTTTAAACAATACTTAGTTTTTATTTGCTGAAATGCATTAAAACAAAACAAACGAATTCGGTAAAAATAAAACTTATAAATTCTCAAACAAAAATTATTCTAAAATAACAAAAATTTTTTTCTATCAATCCCTACCACAGTAGGCGGGGTTTGGCACTTGTTTTATTTAATTGTATCTATTCGTTTTAATACACACTGTATAACACGGTATATTTTTGTCGAAAACAAACGAAATATGGCTAAAAATCTAGCAGCTACTACATGTATTTTGTTTTTGTGTGATATATTATTTTTGTTTTTGTGTGATATATTTTTAGAAAAGAATTTAATAAACTAGAACCTGAAAACCAAATTTTAGGAATTTTGTGAGTTTTAGGAGTTGTGGGAGCCCTGCTATTGTAACGAAAAGAGAACATACCTTCGTCTTTCGATTTGTGTATATAGCTGATAACTCTGGCAACGTCGTCGTGAATCACACTGGGCGAGGAACCGCCGCACATTTTCAAAGTCCTGCGAACGTCCATGTGACAGTCGTCCAAGAAGTACCGCTTGACCGGATAGGCGAAACCGGGTATCTCCATCACGGGAGCGCCATCGAAGTACCTCTGGAACAGATCGGTGTCGATGGTGGCGCTCATGACTACGACCTTGAGATCCGGATTGGTTTTCAACGAGTCGCGCAGCAGGTTCATGAGCAGGTCGGTGTTGACGTCGCGCTCGTGAGCTTCGTCGAGCAGCACGTGCGTGAAACTCGACAACGTCGGGTCGGACTGGAGCCGCCTCAGGAGGATGCCGGTGGTGCAGTAGAGCACCCTGCCGGTGGCCTCGCTGAAGTTGTTTTTCAGGCGGACGTGGTAACCGACAATTGTACCCAGCTGCAATAGTAGTTTGATGAATCAATGGGGTAGTTAAATTTTTTCTGACCTATACTTTTTATGGTTTTATTCAAGGCGTTTTGTAATTTTAAACATTTCTGTGAAATCGGAATTTCAATTGAGTTTACCGTTTTCGAGATATTTAGAAAAAATATAAATTTTTATGACGTCACAAACCTCGCCATGTGACCAACATTCTAAGATTTCTATTGGTTGAAAATTACCCTGTTGTCAAGTTGTCTTGTTAATGATTTCATTCGGTTATGTCAGAAAATACCCGAAGAGGTTATGTACAAATACTGTCACTGTCAGTTGAGTGAAACATGGTCACCAAATTCATTAAGTACCTATCTTCCTTATTACGAGGTATTATATTACTGTTTGATATTTTAGAGTCCAAGATATATCTAAAAGAATATAAAGAACTAGGCATTATACTAATGAAATGCATTTACGACAAAATATGATTATAATTATAGGTACTTACTTTATTTGTTTAAAAGCTCTAATGTTCAATGTAACCAACCATTCCACAAGATTCCTCTGCTTTGGAGTCCGTTATTAATAAATCACTTATCTAATATCAATTACAAATAACATAACAATAACATTGATTTTCAATAATCTAAATTTAAAAAAAACAACCCGAAAAAAAGAAACGTCAAAAAATCAATTCTTCTTCTTCTAACTAAAATTTGGATCAAGTGGTTTTAAAACTAAAATATTATAACGTGGCGCCATCTATCGTAAGATTCTTAAACTAAACACACTGGCAACCATAGAAAAAGCTGTCAACGTTGTCAATAGCCTAGTAACGTAATTAGGAGATTTTTTTTTGTAAATATCTCGAAAACGGTAAACTCAATTGAAATTCCGATTTCACAGAAATGTTTAAAATTACAAAACGCCTTGAATAAAACCATAAAAAGTATAGGTCAGAAAAAATTTAACTACCCCATTCTACATTTTGAAAACAAGTTACAAAAATTGTCGGATAAATTATGTCGATACTTTTATAAAAAGAAATCACCCCTCAAGGGTGCAACCAACCCTACCTATTGTTTTAATTGTAAAGGTATTTCAAGTAATATATCATTTAAAAGCTCGTTTTAATAGGAATTGCGTACCTACCAGTATGCAGTTTTTGTTTTTTTTGTACATTTATAAAAATAAAATTTTTCAGCACTTGAAAAGGCACCACGCGAGAGCGAGAGCTCTTAAAACGTAAATAATTTTTAAAATGTGCAAACCAATTATAATGAAACAAACAATTTTCGAGTGCAAACTAAAATGGTGCAACGGTCAATCAGGAATTGAAGTGTTAAGTGATGAATGAGTTAAGTGCCACCTGTCATTGGACGCTTTTCACTGGACAAACAAAGGAGGTCAAAGGAGGGGAGGTGGCCATCCGCAAAAAAATCGATAAGTAACCTTAAGCATATGCATGACCCAACATAATCTGCAAATTAAACACGACAGATATCTTTAAAACCCTAAGAAAGGCACACTGCGTAGGACAATAAATCTGTCAACAACAAATGCGTAAGGCAAACCCAAACGGGACCAATAATAAACACTAGACACAGTTCTAATAAACTAACACTTTAATCATTATAACCCTAACATAGTAAAAAAAAGCATAATAACCAAACTCTACTGGATTTGTAAATATTAGATAACAGAATAATTGCCCTTGTCATTTGTTTAACTAATAAATAAATGCAATACTTAATTTTGGAATTTAAGAAAAAAAGACAAAACTCTACCGCAAAACGTACTTGGGCAACACAATAACTAAAAAAAAGTTAGAAATCTCGCACTACTAGAGAAACTTTGTAAGAAATTAAAATAAAATTGAAAAAAACAATATGATAAAACCAGAAAGCATAATATGATCTTTGAAGACAGCCCGTAATAGAAACTCAAACTCTAAGAAATCAAGTAGTGCAGTGTAAGATATTAAAATAAAATTTGAAAAACAAAATTAATCAAAATTAAATCTTTCTATTTTTTCTTCCACTGTTAAAAAATCCATTATAAATAACTGCTTAACAAAAGGATGTCTTTTTGTTTGAAAATTAATCTTCGAACTAAATTGATTAAGTAATGTTAAACTATGTGTAAATAGTTTCTTTATAACTCAATAATAATTATTACTTATAACCAAATACCATTTTTTATACCTTAATTAGGATTTAATTAATTAATTGACAAAATAATGTTTTTTTTTACCTTAAATGAGGTATTTTTATTTAAAAAAGTCCAATAATCCTTTAAATTAAAGGATTTAATGCTAGCAGGTAAAAAGTGACCATGGTGTGCAATTGATAATTATCACCGAATGAAATAATGTATAAAACTTAAACCAAAGGAAACTTAAATATTAGTTAAAAAATCGTGGGTACTTAAAAATATCAGATTTAATTTAATAAGATAATTATTACCAAAAAGTGATATTTTTATAGAAAAATTATAATTTTTGATAATTATTAATTTTAATAATTATTGGAGAATCGTATACAGAAGAAAAATCGAACAAAATTGATTTTTTTTCATTACAGCGCCATCTATTATAAATATGAAAAAATGTTTTAGACAAAGTCTACCTATTTTTAGTCGAATGATCCGAATCTGCAATAAAAAATAGGGTGTTCCACTGGAAGTTACCCCCTGTTCCCCCTATAAATCATTTTTTCGTAAAATGCATACTAACTGAGATATTTCCAAAGTTTCAAGTTAAATGAATCACCCTGTATAGCATATATATTATATTTTATTTTGCGAATAAACCGTCACGATAAATTAATTTATTATTATATAATTTATTAATAAAGAGATTTCTCAACTGCCTATTATCTTAGGTGTGGAATTTAATGTAAGAACAACCAAAATTCTCTTTAAGAAAAAAATATACTGACCGCTTCATTTCTTTCCTGAGATACTCTTTCAGCCAATGTAATAGCAGCTATCCTTCTAGGTTGTGTAACAGCTATTCTACAAGGTTTTCCGTTCAAACCATCTTCCTTTGCCCAAGCTTCTAGGACATACTGGGGTATTCTGGTACTCTTACCACAACCTGGTTCACCCTTTAGAACTATCACATTGTTGTTTTTAAGTAACTTGATAAAATCATCTCTAAAATAGGTTATAGTTTAGTAGTTTTTTATTAGTTTAAATACACTGCTCTAAAACGCCTTTACCAATCTTTATAAAATTTTGGATAAAAATACTTTAACTTATATCTCAGTTTACGTGTTCAAGGGTTTTTCGAAAAAATATCCTTAAAGCCCTTTTGTTTAATAATAAAAAACTTGTATAATATAAGTAGGTTAATTTTTCTTTGAAGTAAATAAAAAATATGCTGTAAAAGACCGTATTTTTGTAAGTATACCCTGAAAATTTTGTACAAATCAAACGAACAGTAACGAAGATACAGCGCTTCAAAGTCGTCAAAAATGACCACTTTTCAGCAAAATAATCAAAAAGGGGTCATTTTTATTTTCGTTACTATTCGTTTGATTTGTACAAAATTTTCAGGGTATATTAACAAAAATACGGTCTTTAACACATTTTTTATTTACTTAAAAAAATCCCCAAAAGTTATTTTTCGAACGTTTTTTATTATCAATAAATAAAATAAAAGGGCTATAAAATATTTTTTCGACAAAAAAAACGAACTTTATATCTCAGTTTACGTGTTCGAGGGTTTAAACCCTCGAACACGTAAACTGATATATAAAGTTCGTTTTTTTTATCTGGACTGCGGCAACGATGGTTGGTAAATAAAGAACCAAAATTGGTCGCATTGATTAAAACAAACTAAGCTAGTTATAAATCTAATTGTGGTTATGTATAAATTATTTTAGGTTACAGTGTGCAGTTGTCAAGTTGAGTTTTCGAAATTCGTAGTTAAAAATGCAATTAATTTGGCTTTGGTGGTGCTTGGATGATTAAAATCATATAAAAAAAGTAGTTAAATATAGGTTGCTTTACGGCCCAGAAGAGAAAGTATTCCTAGCGGATAATAATGTTCGCTTTGAGAAGAATTTATATAAAAGAAATTAAATTTTTTTGTGAACGTAAATGTTGTCCAATGGTGAATAATGTGAAAATAATGTGTGATGTAATATTTATAAAACCAAATTCGTTACTTTTTTACTCCAAGAATATCCATAAGGCGATGTACTTTTTCTTCCATTGTGGCATTTAAATGGCATAATTTCATCAAAATGAAGTTTTGCCCTCAAAAGGGCTTTTACATTAGAATTGGTTGCTATTATTTTTGGCATAATTATATTTTTATTTATAATTGACAAGTAAATTGTCAATAAAAAATATTATTGTCAATTTGACAGTGTCAAAGTATTTAATTAAATTATTTAGGAGAAGTGCCATTTTTAAATACTAATATTAAGTCAAACTGGCATAAGCCACCAACCCAACAAAAAAACACGAGTCCACATAAAAAAAATGAACTGTAAGTTGAAGTAAGGTAAAGGCGTTTTAGAGTTCGATTTTTTTTTACGCAGTGTATTATTTTTATTTACTTGTATTTGCTGATGGGTAATTTGACCGCTTCTTTTGCCTTATACTTCTCAAAAGAAATAAATCTTTGCTTTCTCACGTTAGGTAACACAGGCAGGTCTGGTTGAACTACGGGTTCATCCGCAACGTTGGTAACACCTTTATTTCTACGCTCTTCAGCTTCCTGCAGTAAAACAGGCTCGAATCTCGATTTGTGTAAATCGTAAATTCCCGCTAGATGCCTCTTAACACCGTCGGATAACTTCAAAACCGGCAAAGTATCTTTATGGAGCTGTTTGATTTGATTTTTATCGACAACCAGCGGTTGGGCGTCGCTGCTGATTTTTTTGTTGGCGAAGAACCACGTAAGCGCCGCTATTGCAGCTTTTCTCGAAGCTTCCTGCTTAGTCCGGCTATCCGCAGTGACCTTGATCTCGCAGGGCCACTTCAAGTGGTACAAGCAGGTCCAATGCGACGCCTTGTCTTGGTGGATCAACTTGTACTTGGGCATGGCTTTCAGGTCTTTTTGGCGCAGCTCGGTCGCCAGAATGTCGAACATGTTGTGCAAGGCGTTTTTCGGCTGCGGAAACAGTTTCGCGGTCTGTTTGGAGCTGTCGCTTTCGTCGTATGAGACTTCGATTGGTTCGGCCGCTGGAGGCTTTTTATCCTCTGTACTCGTGCTGAATGAACGACGTCCTGTGACTTTGTTCGACATCTCCGTTTGCAGCAATAATCGTTTCAGAAACGATTTGTTCACGTTTATATGAACCTTATCGGTTTTCATTTCGGTGATGGCTGTTTTTGGGTTTTCTAAAAAAAATTGACGCTTATTTAATATCCATTAATTAATAATCGAAAACATTTTATTATCTATGGAGCGCCGTTTTATTTTTTATTCAAGAGTTATTTCTATATGAAAATTGGATAAAAAAATATCATATAAGGATTTTTATTTTGCGAATTAATAATAACATAGAAGATATTTTAAAATATTTGCTTCTTATATTTAATTTAAAATATTTACTTCTTTAAATTGCTTTTTTGTTAAACACATATTTTTCATTTTCTTAATTAAAAATATCATGGAAGGAATTTTTAATTTGATTAAATTTTTATTTTTTTAAATGTAGATATTTTTAATTGAATGTGATATTTATAATTCCGACTGACTGAGAGTTTGTAAACCCAGACAGAATTAGTTTGGAATACCAGGGATGTCCAAACATACAATCTAAATTAAAAATATCATTCACTTAAAAATATCTGCTTATTTTAAAAAATTAAAATTAAAATGAATGAACAATATCTCATATGATATTTTTAATGCATTTAAAAATTTCTCCTATGATATTTTTAATTTAGAGATTTAAAAATGTGTTTAACCAAAAAATACCAATATAAGAAACAGATATTTTAAATTCACTTAATTAAAAATATCAGATTGGCATAAAAATTTAATTTAGTTTTTAAATATCTACTATGATATATATATTTTTTATATAATTAAAAATATTACTAGGGTTAACACATAAGAATAATTCCTGATTAAAAATTAAATATTGTTTTTTTAAAAATTAAATTTTTCTTTATTTTTAAGGGGTTATATGCAGTTAGAATTTTAAAATATATATATTTTTTTGAATTTTTATGTCAAACTATATGCTGTGAAAATTTCCAATTAATCCTAAAAAAAGTTTTAAAATTTTAAAATCCAAATTATTCTGCAAATAATATTAAAAAAAAAACTTTGACCAGAGATATCTTTTCAATGAATAGGTTTACGAAAAAACTTTAAAATACCTTTTTGTAGGGCATTGAATTTCCCATTAAAATATGTATTGGTCTTAGATTTATATTCATTTAGCAGCAAGATACAAAATGGTTTTTATTGAACTAATGTGAAAATGTAAAATTGCAATAAGGAGCATCTTACTTTTAATAGTAAAAGCCCATATGCAAATGGGCAAAACAAAAAAATGGATTTTTTGAATCACAGACATTTTTTTACACATCTGACCCCTTAAAAGTTTCCAAGAAAACTTAATTTTAATGTACTACCAAAATAATTTAAAATCTTATTAAAAATTAAAATAAAAATATTACTTTTTGATTTTTGAAGACTTGTTGTAAAAACATTATTATTATTGTTATTGTTAACATTTTTTGGTTGTGATGTTTTTTGTGCAATAGGAGACCTAAAATAAATCACCTTAAATAAGCATATTAAAAAATAGATTAAATTTTTACCAACTTCCTGGAGTTTCAGGCTTTACTATGGCAACAAGCCTTTTTTCAACCTTACTTGGCGGAATAAACCTAAACAGAACATAATTATAAAAAATATAACACTGAAAAATTTATTTTTACTTATTGACTGGGGTTTCTGGTTTACGGTTTTGTCCTTGGAAAATAAAAGGTTGAATGGGCCTTAAAAAAAATACTTAAAATAAAAAAGTATTACTTAAAAATATACTTTACAGATTACGCGGTATTTCAGGCTTATTAAAAGGTGGGCCAAGTCTATCCCATACACTAGCTTTAGGTTGGTTAGGAGGTTGAATGGGCCTTAAATAGAAATACTTAAAATAAAAAAATAAAACTTAAAAATATACTTTACAGATTAAGCAGTATTTCAGGCTTTTTAAAGGGTAGGCCAAGTCTTTCCCATACACTAGCTTTAGGTTGGTTAGGAGGTTGAATGGGCCTTAAATAGAAATACTTAAAATAAAAAAATAAAACTTAAAAATATACTTTACTGATTAACCAAGACTTCAGGCTTTTTAACCGATGAGCCAAGTCTCTCCAATACATTAGCTTTAAAGGACTTGGCAACCCTCATTTCAACACTCTCAACAATTTGACTGTTAAATTTCCACTCCAGCCAAATCATGGCCCCCACCAAAGCATCATGGTAAGCATTCTCACAATTCATACCAACGCCAAGCAAAACAACTGGTTCAGGCCATTTTACAGCAACAAAGCAATTCCAAAGTCGATTGTATATATTTAAATTGTATACTGGAACACCAATGACATCTGATAAATTATTTGAATGCCGTTCCAATATAAACTTTCCTATTTTCATTTCTATTTGTTTTGATGTTCCTAATCGACTCATTTCGGACAGAGTCGTTCTGTGGAATTTTTTAGGTAAATCTTTGTTTATCAAATGTAATATATCTTGCACCAACATAGTTTTTTTCTCCATTCTGTTATTTGCTAATTCTTCCCTATATTTATTTATTTCAATATACTTGTTTTGCTGTTTAGCAGTTTTACCCTCTTTGGATATGTGACAAAAACATTGGCTACTCCTATACCTTGAATTGGTGAAAACCTGAAAATTGTTGCCTTTTGAGCGAACATGTTTTGTTACTAGGAGAAATTTTTTTAACATTTAACAAAAAATTGAGGTTAAAAACTTGAAAAATTGAGGTTAGGTACGTTGGCATTTGGGTTGCCTACCTACTAAACCCAAGTTTTAGCTACAATTTATGAATATTTAAAACTAAGTTAGCTCAATTTTTAATGTTTATAAATTGTACTGCAAAAATGTAAGATTTGACTAATATTTGGCTTTGGCTAAAATTCCCTAGAAACTTCTTGCTTATAAGCTAAATATATAAAGCTTAATTTTGGCTGAAGCCGAAGGTTCAATTTTAACTGAAATTTCAAAAACTTAAAATGACATTATAGCGGTAAAAGCTCAATTTAAAGTTTTAGAGAAAAACTTTATGTGGTGTAGTTTAATTAAAGCTCTCTTGCCTTATATATAACTATCTTAATTAATATAATTTCTATTTTTTTTATCCTAAATTTAGGATAAAAAAATAGAAATTATAGGTATTAATTAAATTAAATTAAATGTCTCAATAATATCTGGCAAAACTTCATTTTCATAATTTAGTTATTTAGTTATTAAGAAAACACAATTCGAATTCGAAATGACTCAAAAACATTTGGGAAACAAAACCTAGGTTAGCTAATAGTCAAAAAATCTTATATGAACAAGAATTTATATTGTTGTAATCATATTAAACAAGAAAATATTGTTTACATCAAAAATATTGAATTAATGGACTAGATTACTTATATGCTTTTGAGACTGGTGCAAGAATTCATCATTAAGTTATAATTCAGGCACATGTTATAGAATGCCCGATTTTCCGAATCAATCCATTGATTGATTGATCCTTAATTTGTCCATTTAAGTAATCAATAAACTTTGTAAAACTTACTTGAAACAATTTTCTAATGTAGATACTTTAAGTACCTATTTCAACAAATTTTCACACAAAATACACCTTTATAATCTGTGAAAATACACTTGACATTAACGACTATTTAAGATTTTTATTTGAACCACGTAAATAACGGGTGGGGGCACACGTCCATGCGCAAAAACTGTCAGTAAAAAACAGATTCATACGTTTTTTAAACACAAATATAATTAAGTACTTAATTGAAGAAATTTTTTTAAAAACGACACATGTCCAAAATCTGCATTTTTCAGGATAAACAAAAAACTTTAAAAAATGTCTGATATGCTACTAGATGGCGCATTTAGCTCGATTTGAGCATTTTGTGACATGTGCAGTTTTTGAAAATTTGAAATGCTAATATATAGCGGAATTCGCCAAATGTATGTTTAATCGTGATACGTGCCTAATGGTTGTTGAGTCTAGAAGTACCTACAAAGAGAACTTCTAGACTCAATAACCATTAGGCACAACTCAATTAAATTTGGTTTTGCTTTATTTTTTGTTTGATACCTAGTTACTTAAGTAATTACGTTTTTTTCTTAATTAATAGAAATACTTATAGCTAGGTATATATATAGGTATACCTACCTACCTTAAACGTTTTTTTATACTTAAAAAGTCTAATTTGAATGTTTTTAGTAAAATTAAAATTTCATTAATAATGTGTATAAAAAAAACTAATACCTACATTGTTCTTAACTTTTTATTTTTTAACCAAATTTATAATTATAAAAAATAAACTTAAACATTTTGTTCTCTCCTTTTAATACTTTTACAATACTCAACAGTAGCAAAAACAATTTGCAATCTCTTTTCAATAGCAATTAAATGAGCTTTTGTAACAATATCCCAAATTTTTGGCATAGAATCCAAGTATTCTCTTAACTTGCCACCCCTAAGTTGCATTAAATTGTTGAGGGTCTCTCGCCTCAATCTAAAAAAAATTATGTTAAGCTAGAACACACTTTTTAAAAAGGTTAATTATATAAAACTTACATACAACATTGATATAGAGGAGCTAAAATATCAATATGGTTAATTAATGGATTTCCCAAACCTTTTCCATTATCCAACAATAGGACAGTATCGTCCATTGTCTCATAGTGATGTCTATCCCCATTTTGGAGTAAAAAGTCAAAAATTGATATGTCTATTAAGTCATACAGTCTTTTCTTGCTTAGTTTTTCTTTAACAACCCTAAAAATTAAAAAACAAATACACTTTTTTTAATGATTTAATTTATCTACATTGACATGCTGTGACTATGGCGTTTTAGTCACGGGCTGAAGTTAGAAATAGTGACTTTTGGGTATTTTAGTCACTGGCTGAAGTTAGCTTTATTATAAATTAGAGAAAAGTGGGGTTAATTTCGTTAACATTTGACAGATGTCAAATGTTTAACAAATAAAATTGTATTTAAATTCTTTGTGTTCGTCTTAGATAAAGTATAGTATGCAGCTCGTTTTATAAACTTATCTAGACACTCGTTTTTATTAAACACTCGCTTGCAAGCTTCGCTCGTGCCTAATAAAAATAATATAAAACAAATTTCCTGCCTAACAACGTAAATAATAAACTCATCGGTGATTGGCTGATTTGAATAATCACTGTGATTTCAACCAATCGGGTTTTAAATTGCAAGAAGGCGACTATAATAACATTTAAAATTGGTAAAAAGTGAGGTTAAAAGCGAAGTTCTATGGTTAAACCTTTGACAGATGTCCGATTTTATTTATTTAATAATAATAATAAAGAAATGAAATGAAGCTGAAATATTTCACATTTAATAATGGTTTATAATTGTAAAAACTATTTTTTTCATATTTTTACATTTACATATATTATATTATGAGTTAAATTTAATGTAGATAAAATTTGTGATATCCTTACTTGCAATAATTGGGATTTTTTTCCCAAGCTGCCTTTTTGCCTTTCTTATAAGTTCTTTGCCACGGAGATCTATGAGTTTTGAAATTTCCCTTAATATTAAATATCACAGCACCTTTCAAGTAGTTCTCTTCATTATCGCAAATGGGATCCTCCTTTCTACAATATAAACACCTACCGAACACACAAGTTTTGTTGCCCCTTTGAAACGACGTTTCTAACAGTCTTTTAGTAGCTACAGGTATCACATCTTTGCTCAACGATATATCACGTTCAACACTTAAAGGGGTTAAAGGTTTTTTAAATAAAAGGGATAAGTAGAAACCCAATATTTCAGAGCCATATCTATCTTTCCCTGCATAGACTGGTCCTTCTATGATTCTGTCAATTTCATACCACTTTGGTTTAAATACGACCAACTGATTACCCTAAAAATATCAACATTATTATGTATATACTCAATCGTAGGATAACTGTAACAACTTACCTCTAAGGTTAATAGGAATTTCAACTGTGTTCCCCTTGTGTCAAGATCAGCTCTAATTATTTTAGAATCTTTCAGAGCATTTAAAACGTTACCTACATTTGAACTATTTACATTTACTACTTGTGAATTAGTAACCCATGAATCTGCTTCCGACCACACATCCTTAACATTATATTTACTAACAAGTTTAATATTTTTAATTAACGTTTCAATAACAACATTTTCTTTAGGTTTAATTATATATTCTGGCGATAAATTATCTAGTTTTTTAAGTATATACTTTTCTACACTGACTTCATTGCTTTCTAAGCCATTTTCTGACTTGTTTAGTATGATAAGTATATAATTTGTTGTCACTAAATATAATAACAATATTATTACCGTTAAAAGGACTATTTTTCGCTTTCGAATCATTGAAAATATGTTTTATTTACATTTCAGTCTTTGGTGAATTTAACCTCAAAGTTGTTAATGTATTCTGGGTTGCATAACAAAAAACTTTTTTCTACGACCACTATGTTAAGTCACATTTTGTAATGGCATCGTTGCTTAGAAAATGAATATTTTCATTGGCAAGGCAAAACACCATGGACATAATATTATAATAATAAATAATGTATTATTTCTATGCAAAACACGAACGTAAAGTGACATTTCTGTGTGAAAAGAAATTGACAGCATCGTTTGACAATGTCATACGATGCTGTCAATTTCTTTTCACACAGACCTGTCACTTTTCACACAGAACAAATGTTAAATTTACATTTGTTTCAAAATTTGTATTGTATTTGTATATGTAGGTATGTCTTAATATCATTTAGAACACAAATAATTATTTTTGTATAATAAATTCCAATTTTAGTGCATTTAAATTGAGAAGGTAAGTTTATTTATTAACTTATACCTTAAACATTAAAAGATTAAAGTAATTTTAACAGCTGTCAAACACGTTTTTAGGCCTCGTGAGCAACTTAAACACTCGCATGAAAAAGCCGCTTTTCAACACTTGTAAAAACGAATAAGTATTTCTCCAAAATTTGCTAGTTCTTCAGAAAATATTGAAATGTTTTTAATGATTGGTAAAAAAAGATAGATCTGAATAAAGAAAATGGAATTAATTTTGTTTTTTAACACTGCTTTTTTGTTTAATTAGGTACTTAAAATAATTTTATTTATTGTATTTATAGCTATTGTAATACATGTTACATGTTACCTACAGTAGGTATATAAAAAATATATATAAAAAAATATTTTTCTTTACTTTTTTGAAAAACTTTTTTTTCTAAATTTTGAGGTAGGTATTGTCTACATCCTAAAAAATCCCTAGAGTGGTAGTATGAGAAATAAGCAGTTAAACTTTTTTTCCATTGAATAAAAATTTAAAACAAAAAATTACAATCAGAAATTTTTGTTTTTTCCTACATTTTTCTAAAAAGTACATTAAAAAACAAAACGTCCCGTCCAGATAATTTAAAAAAAAAGGGTAATTTTTTTGAAAAATGTATTGTTTTCTATATCTATACAATAATGCACACATGTTTGTTTTCTTATAATATTGAGCAACAATTTGACAGGTGTCAAGTTGACAGATATCAGGTGACAGATGACTAAGAAAACGTTGGATTAATTTTTTTAAATTTTAAACTTTTTATCTTTTTATTTTGTAGTCCAAATGAAAACCCAGAGATAAATAAGGGTTCTACACATAAAAACAATGCAAAAATTGTTCTAAATCAATTCTATGCAGTGTAGACATGTGATTTGACGTTTATTCTCGAGGGTTTGAAAAATTCCTCTTTCTTTTAATTCAAAGTTCTAAATGCCATAAACCTATTTAAATCTTGAATATGCCAAAATTTGATGAAAAGTTTAATAAAAAATAATTTGTGAAATGTCATCATGACTTTTTGACCTTTTTTTTGTCATATGTCATCTGTCACCTGCCAACTTGATACCTGTCAAAGTGTTGTTCAATATTATAAAAATTATTAAAATATTCAATATTTGCACAATTTTATCTCAAAAAAACATAAAAAATCGGTTAACATTTAAGTAAACATACATAAAATTTTGTTGAGGTTTTAATTTTATTAAATAAATTCCTTTAAACCTACTATAAATAAGTAAATTAGAAAAGAAAATAAATTTTGTCAAAATTTTAGAATTTGTAATTTTTCCCCTTTTTTTACTTATGCACAGATATTCATTCTTACCCCTTATACTTAAGTAATTACTTATATTGATTTTCTTATGCAGCTAACTTCATACTGTGGAATGTTTTTTATGGAAAATAAAATAAAACAAAATGGTTATAGAATTCAGAATACTTTCATTTATTTATAGAATTATTATAGAATACTTTGTTATAATACAAAAACCAAATAAATAAACAAATACCATTTAAAGCTATTTTTAAACATGTATATAAAAATAAAATATTTGTAATTTATACGTATTAAAGTAATAATACATTTGCACATAATACAGAGTTATTACACAGATACAGTACGATCAAACAAAGCTGCTAGTGGGTTGTTCCAGGTACGACTTACTGTTTTTATCGGCGGTTTTGTGGAACCCGTTGTGCCCCCAATTCTGGGGCTTGATGGGGATTATCTTCGGTTTGGGGGGCAGAGGGGGCGGCGTGCCGTTGCTCGCGGGACTCCTCCCTTCCACAACAGCAACACCCAAGCCTTTCGTCGGCGTGGAAGAAGAAGACTTGGAGCCAACTTCGCAGCCGTTCAGAAACGCGCTTCTGTTCTCGTAATTCGAAACGTGCGACTCGGTTTTCAGGGTTTTCGCCGTGGCCGTTTTGTTCGCTACGTTGGTATCGCTGCTGGCCACGAATTTAGGCTCGAGGCTCCTGCGCAGCGGCTTCCGGAACTTGTGGTCGCCGTTTTCTTTGTCTTTGAGGAAGTCAGGAAGTTCCGTGTTTATTTCCGTTCCGCGCTGGTCCTCCAAACGACGGCCTTGCGCTTTAGTCACACCCTCTAAAATTTCTGAAAAAATAAATTTTGTTTGAGGGTTTATGCCACAAATGAAAGGGAAGTTAAATTTTAATTATTTTGACAAATATTAGCTTTTGGATTTTCTAAATTTTCTAGGGCTCTCACAGCTAAATTACAAATTTTATTTAGGAATTTAGGTGTTTTTTTGTAAAATTTTAGGAAAAATAAAGTATGGAAATGAGTTTCTTTAATTTAAAAACAACTCTTTACTACTTAAAAAATAAGGAAAAAATTAATACTTATTTTGTAAAAATAAGTTATATTGATTTTTTAGCCAAATCGCTCGACGAGTTTTTTTTTAATATAAGTACTTAGTAGTAAGTATAAATTTCACTCTTTTAATTTTATTTAAAAAAATGCGTCGATAGATTTGGTTAAAAAACTATGCCAAAATCAAATGATGTGATATTTATATTTTAAGAAAAAATATGTTAACCGTTTAGTTAATAACTAACAGTAATTAAATCGGTAAGATTAAGAATAATACAAGTCCAAAAGTAAAATTTTTGATAAAATATTTCAAAAAATCAGTTTTATAGTTCTAAATGCATTTTTGTTAAAATATTTTAACTATTTTATGGAATATAATATTTAGATTCTGTAAAATAATTTATATCTTCTCACAAAAATGTATTTTAAACTTTAAAATTGATTATAAAAATAAATTGTCAAAATTAAATTATTGGACTTGTACTGTTCTTATTCTCACCGATTTAATTGTAATGTGGATCTTAATACTTAAAAATCTCATAACAAAATATAAAGTTTGCAAAATACAGCAAAACATTCTTTAGATTGTTTACTATTTTAGCTGTCATTTAAAAGGAAATTAAAAAAAATTGATATATAACACGGTATATATTTGACTAAAAAAACGAAATATCGCTAAAAATTACAATTTTGTAGAAGTTTGTTGTTTTTTAAGAAAAATTTTGGTTGTGATATTATATCATGATATCATTTAATAAAATAGAACCTAAAAATATATATTTTTAAAAAGATTTTTTTTAGCACTACCTTAATTAAGTCAGGTTGGCCTATTTAAATTTATTTTTTAGGAGTTTTAGGAGATTGAATGCCATTTTAGGAGAATTTTAGGAGTTTTCAAGATTTAAGCCAAATTTTAGGAATTTTTTGAGTTTTAGGAGGTGTGGGAGCCCTGCTAAACACATTTTTTTAAGAACTCTTCCATAAATAAATTTTGTATATATATAGCTATAGCTATAGCTACCATAAAAAGTAAAAAAAAAATATAATTTTCGGAATTTGTAAAATAGTTGATATCTTTTGAAATAACTGCCCATTATTGTACATGTTTTCATGACACTAAGTGACCTTTTAAATACATTGACAAGTTGTGGATTTATGAAAAAAAAATGAAAACGAAAAAACGCCAGAGAATAAAAAAATAAAAGTGACAATGAGAAATTTTCCGAAAATTAAAAAAAATAGATATTGAAGATTGGTCGAATAATTTTTGTCTAAATTTTTCTAAAAAGTAGGTACATTAATTTTTTTTTTAAATTTATAACTTTATATTTACCAAACTGAAATCAAATTTTTAATTGTTTTCGAGATACAAGGTTTTGAAAAAATTACCTATAGGTACAATAATTCACACAATATTCTAATGTTTGTTTTCTTATAATATTGAGCAATACTTTGACAGGTGTCAAATTGACAGATATTATCTAAACAGATGACATATGACGAAAAAAACGTTAAAAGCTACGTTAGTTAAAATTTTCCATTTTTTGTTTAATTTCACTAGTTTACAAAATCGAAAAAAAATATTTGAAATATGAATTTTCAATTGTTTTTTTTTTAATTTTCGGAGGTGTTTTGACGTTTTTGAGTATAGCTTAAAATCTAATTGATCTATTTGGTCAAACAAGCCCTTAAGTTGAAGGTATATGAGCCCTCTAAAACTTTATTTTACATACTTTTGATATCGGATAAGTATTTTGACGCTAGCGATTTTAATAACATAAAAAAAATTGTTTTTATGGCAAAAATTGAGGTCGAAAATTTACATATCGTCCTGGGAAAGGTTTAAATCAAACAGATAACTCCAGTTTGGATTTTGTTCGTGAATGTTGATAAAAATACATGAAAAAATGTAATGAATTTTTTAGTGGAAGACCAAAATTCAGCTTTTTGACGATTTTTCTTTTTTTTTTCTTTTATTTCGTAATATGTTTATTTTTTAATGAAAACCTAATTAAAGTGCATGATTGGAATTTTTTAAGTTTTTACGTAATTTTTTCACCGAATACATTATATACAATTTAAATTTGACATCACTCCGCAAACGTGAATTCTTTTGTTTCTCGTGTTGGCATAGTGACATTTTACTGTTATTTTTTGATATTTTAACAGAGTATTTTTATCCTGGTTTTATTTAGTTAATAAAAAGTGTAAAATAAGTAAAAGAAGTAGAGAATTCGAGTGCGTAAATAACCCGATCAATCTGGGCGACGTAAGTGATGAGCACGGAGAACGTTTTCACCAGCAAATGAAGGCTATGGAGCGGCGGTATCACGGCTTCTGGGATTCAGTCATGATGGGTGATTAAATTTGGTCCCTCATACGAGAAACGGAATACGAAAGCAACAAAAAACAAGAAGGAGCCAGATTTTTTTTAAACCTATGCTTATTACAACAAAATAAAACTTTCAATATCTTCAATGTTCAATATTTATTGTTCAATATTCAATATATAATTTAATTTCAATATTTAATGTTTAAAATAAAAATCAATGTTCAATATTAAACTTTATATAACTAAATGAAATGAAAAAAACGTAAAAATTCTCGAAAAAACTGAATTTTGGTCTTTCACTGAAAAATTCATAACTTTGCCATTTATCCATGGATTTTTATCAGCAGTAGCTTATTTTTTTTCTTTAAGTATAATCTATATGTAAAATAAATCAAACTGGACTTATCTTTTCGATTTCTATCTTTTCCAGAAAGCAATGTAAATTTTTGACCTAGATTTTTGTAAAAAAAAAAGGACTTTTTCAACTTCAACGCCAGTATCGAACTACTGAGCCAATAGTCCGAAGTTTGAGGCTTGATATCTTTGACTTACGCAAAATGTCAATCAGACCTTTTTTGTAGAGCATTAAAATTTCCTATAATGGGTAATTTTGTACTTATGAAGTAGCTTGTTATCACGTTAAAAAATTCCAAAGTTTTCTTTTTCCAGAGATACATTTTCAATGTTCTTTAAAAAAAAAGAATAGTCGGTTTTTTTGAGAAATTCTAGTAGACATAATGTATACAAATTGTATTTTACAAAAAAATCACTTTTGTAGTTCAAAAATGCATTTTTGTGAGAAGATATCAACAATTTTAGAAATATCCAAAATTAAAGAAAATTTGTATATATACAAAATTTATTCATATTTTGGAAAAATAATTTCTGCCAAGTTTAAGCCAAATTCGATTTCAAAAAAATTCCTACCATCATTTTAACAGTTTTATTTGGTAAAATGGAATTTTTATTCTACATTTTATAGAAATTATTAATCTTATGTAGCAGGATTTTTTTCTATAATATAAAATTTTTTTTAAAGTAAGATAAATAAAATTTCACTTACCATCTTTTTCCTTACAGTTGACTTGCAACTTGCTGGCGCCCGCTTTCAGTTTAGCAATTAACGGTTTTTTGACGTGACCTTGATCGGCCACATCTTCAGTGCTGCCAGCCGTTGACGGTACTTTTTTGATGGAAAATTTCTTTTTTCGGTCCTGGACACTGGAATCCCGACGCAAAAATTTGCTGAGAATATTGGAGGAGTGTTCAGACCCCCAGTCTTCACTCTGCAAAAAATGTCAAGTTAGTAATGGACATCCCAAAATGTTCTTGGTTTTATTACCTTCACCGATCCGCGGTCGGATTTGCAGGGTTTTATCAACACCGACGCGGATTTTTCTTGAAGAATGTCTTCAAATACTTTATTGGTGATTTCTTCCAACTTTCTTTCCGGGCTTATTTTGATGGGTGCCTTAATATCTACATAAAAACATATTATTACACAAAACAATCATAAAAATTACACTATGATAGTCTGCTGATTTTAAAAATGTCACTCGTTTTGCTCCAGGACGTCTAATTGTCAAAAATTAAATTACCGACAACTTTTTCATTTGAACTTTTTCGGTAAAACCAGTCATTCGCTCGATTTTCTCAAAAATTTGTGAAATAAGTGAAAAAACGACTTTTGGAGCTACTACAATCAACGTAAATAAATCAAAAATAAAATTGATGCAAAGCCTTTCAAAAACCGTGAATACTATGCAGGAAATTATGGTGATAAAAATTATAATTCAAAACCCGGCCAAAATATAGAAATTTAAAGTAAAATTGATTAAAAATACATGCTTTTTATATGGAAAAACTACAAAATTAAAAAGGAAGTACTTAGAATCAAAATTAAGGGCTCAAATTTTCAGGGAATTTTTTTTTTAAACCTAAAAAACAAAATTGTCATGACACATTGTGTCAGCAAGAAAAAAAAATTCTTTTTAAATGAAACACCCCAATCTGTATATAATATATATAATATACAGGTCCTGTATATTTTTAACAAAAAACGTCAAAAATATACTGAACATCCAAAATAGATTTAAGGCAAAATAATTTAAGAAATAAACAAGATATTAACGAAAAACTTTTACAACTACTACAATCAACGTAAATAAATCAAAAACGTCTATCATCGCTATTTTTGATTTTTAGTCATAATTTGATGTTTTACGTTACAAAATTTCAAAGTAAAAAGGGCAAATCGAAAAAACACATCGATTTATTAAGCTCAATTACTCGGAAACGGCTCGTCTGACGAAAATTTTCAATCAGACCTTTTTTGTAGAGAATTTAATTTTATATAAAAATAAGTGAAAAGGATTTTTTTCACTTTAATGTTTTGACAGTTCTAACGTAAAACATCAAATTATGACTAAAAATCAAAAATAGCGGTGATAGATCTCTTAAAATTAATATTAAGGGCTCAAATATTATTTGTACGCACCATTATCATCTTTGAGTTGTATTTTGAGCCTGAACTGATCAATGGCAGTGACTGGCTGTTGCACGTCCAAAGGTCTTCCGTTTTCCGTCACGTTAACTTGGTCCAAATTGTAGTGGTATTTGTGCAAGATCGGCCGCAAAACCTCCATTATCAACTTGGTGTATTTTGATTTGACGCAAATGCACTTCTTGTTGGGCAAATCCAACTTGAAAACCACCCTTTGCTCTACGTACGCCTCGCAACCCGCCAATTGTGTGGACGGTTCCTTGGTGTCCAAAGCCTTCGGATGTTTGTTGGTCGTGACCTCGTAGGAGGAATAGTTGATGCCGCGTTTCTCCAACAATCTACTGACTAGCTGATCGATTGGTTCAGACTCTTTAATTTGTACTACGGTTGTGTAGCCGTTGCTCAGTTTCACCCTGCAAAGAGCCGGTCGGTCTTCTTGGGCGAGTTTTGATTTTGAAATATCCTGAATACAAAACACACATTACAGTATTTGCTTCAATTAACACAGCAAATAAAATTTGAGATAAAATTGGCCAAATATTGAGCAAACAATGACCAATGATAGGTATCAATTAATGGTCAATATTTGCACAATTTAATTGGACAACATAACCATCCAAAAATTGACCAATCTTTGGGTTAATGATAATAATAATAGGTAATAATAATAAATAATAATAAATAAATAAATATATCAAATTTTTGAGCTATTAATCTGATCCTGTTCAAATTTTAATTGCTCATTGGCGATGATATTATAATCTTAATAACTAAAATCTTGTTAAAGTAAATTCAAAATTAAATTATTTTAAAAACCATTTATAATTTCATGATGAAATTTTAAATTCAATTTAATTTTATTTTATTTGTACTGGTTTAAATATAACAATCTTGTAAAAGTAGATCAAAATAAAAAGTGCATTATGTATGAAGATGATTTTAGTCACGAATTAAAAGTATAAAAAACCATTGTGTCCCAAAAATTTTTAAAAAGAAAAAAACTTATTTTGTAAGTTTCATAAAAACCTTAAAATTAATCCAAACAAATGGCGAAATAATGGTAAATTTTCCACTTAATTTTGCCATAAAAACTATGAAATAATAAATTTATACAAAAATTGTTTTTTTAGTGATATATTAATATTTCCTAGACAGAAGAAACATAAAATGTGTGTTGTGTAACTTTAATAAAATCGATCGATAGATTTTACTTTCATATTGACAAAATGGTAAATTAAAAAAAATTAATCTTTGAAAAGCAATACTATTGATGACAATGATTTAAGTAAACAAGTCAATGTTAAATTACAGAAAAAGTTAATGGAGACACTTTCAGTTTTGCCAATCATTTTTAATATGAAGTTTAGGAGATTATGATCTAACTAAAGAGAATGTTACCTTCTGTACCAAAAATAACTTGAAGAAATTATATTATTACCTTTTAAAATAAAAAAAAACCTAAAATTGATCTAAAACATTTTTAGAATTACCTTAAAACTGTAAAAAAATTAAAACTTAGAAAAAACGTCCTAAATTCTGTAAATTATTTTGAAACTTACATTTTTTGAAAAGTACACTTTAAATTGATTGGTCGCATATTTTATATAGAAAAAAAAACAAAACAAATGGCGAAATAATGGTAAATTTTCTACTAATTATGTCATAAAAACTAGGAAATAATAAATTTATACAAAAATTGTTTTTTTAGTGATATATTAACATTTCCTTGACAGAAGGGACATAAAATATAGTGGAATGCTTTAACTTTAATAAAATGTATTAAATATCGATTTTACTATCGTATTGACAAAATGGTAAATTAAAAAAAATTAATCTTTGAAAAGCAATACTATTGATGACAATGATTTAAGTAAACAAGTCAATGTTAAATTACAAAAAAAGTTAATGGAGACACTTTCAGTTTTGCCAATCATTTTTAATATGAAGTTTAGGAGATTATGATCTAACTAAAGAGAATGTTACCTCCTGTACCAAAAATAACTTGAAGAAATTATATTATTACCTTTTAAAATAAAAAAAAAAACTTAAAATTGATCTAAAACATTTTTAGAATTACCTTAAAACTGTAAAAAAATTAAAACTTAGAAAAAACGTCCTAAATTCTGTAAATTATTTTGAAACTTACATTTTTTTAAAAGAACACTTTAAATTAATTTGTCGCATATTTTATATTGGAAAAAAACAAAAAAATGGCGAAATAATGGTAAATTTTCCACTTAATTTTGTCATAAAAACTATGAAATAATAAATTTATACCAAAATTGTTTTTTAGTGATATATTAACATTTCCTTGACAGTAGGGACATAAAATGTTGTGGAATGTTTTAACTTAATAAAATGTATTAAATATCGATTTTACTTTCCTATTGACAAAATGGTAAATTTAGAAAAATTAAGCTTTGAAAAACAATAATATTGATGACAATGATTTAAGTAAACAAGTCAATATTAAATTGCAGAAAAAGTTAATGGAGACACTTTCAGTTTTGCCAATCATTTTTAATATGAAGTTTAGGAGATTATAATATATGATCTAACTAAAGAGAATGTTACCTCCTGTACCAAAAATAAACTTTAAGAAATTATATTATTACCTTTTAAAATTAAAAAAAAAAACTTAAAATTGATCTAAAACATTTTTAGAATTATTTTAAAACTGTAAAAAAATTAAAACTTAGTAAAAACGTCCTAAATTCTGTAAATTATTTTGAAACTTACATTTTTTGAAAAGTACACTTTAAATTGATTTGTCGCATATTTTATATTGGAAACAACAAAACAAATGGCAAAATAATGGTAAATTTTCCACTTAATTTTGTCATAAAACCCAGGAAATAATAAATTTATTTATAATGGAATTGTTTTTTAGTGATATATTAACATTTCCTAGACAGAAGGGACATAAAATGTTGGGAAACGCTTTAACTAATAAAAAGTATTAAAGATTTTACTTTTGTATTGACAAAATGGTAAATTTAAAAAAATTAATCTTTGATAAGCAATATTATTGATGACAAAGATTTAACTAAACAAGTCAATGTTAAATTACAGAAAAAGTTACTGGAGACTCTTTCAATTTTACCAATCATTTTTGATATGAAGTTTAGGAGAATATGATCTAAGAATGTGACCTCCTGTACGAAAAATAAACCTTAAGAAATTATATTATTACCTTTTAAAATTCAAAAAAGCCCATAAATAAAAAAATAAACTTACAGAAAGATCCAATGAGGTAAGCGACGATCTACTGCTGTGTATGTCGCTTTTAGCATCTTTGCTCAAATTATCACTACTAGCTCTAATATCAGGTCTCTTGTGTTGATTATACTCGATTTCGCCTCTATCTTTCGACTTGCTTCGGCTCTTTTTGTGCCAACTTCTCGGCAACAGCGACTTCCTTCTTCTATCTTCCGCGTTGCTAAGCGACTTCTTCAGCTTGGGCGTCGGAGCGGGAAAATGCATGGACAACTGCATATCCATCTGAATCTTGCCGATGTCTCCGGACAAGCATTGCTTGTAGATGTCGGACTTCAAGAACCTGCGACAGAAAGAAACAGGTTTAATTTTTGAAGCGCTTCAAAAAGTAGCACAACTGGTTAAATTACCGTTATTTTGTAATAAATGGGGAATAAAAATCATGGTTAATTTAACGTTATGTTAAGTAATTTTAACTTCTTGGTTAATGTACCTTTCGGTTAAAAAAAGTTAATATTTGGTAATTTTTGGTTAATTTTACCCTTTTTGACTGCTTTTTAACTCTTTAGTCAACTTAAACTAAAGTGAAAAAACCAACCATTTTAAGTTTATTTTAACTTAATATAATTATAATTTACCAAGTAGGTATATTATACTACACCAAGTATGCATAGATCTATGAGTCTTAAGACTTTAAATAAAATGTCTCCCCTGAATATTAATATCTTCATTTTAATATTTAAAAGAGGTAGTTCTAGGAGAAAAACCAATGGGGCATTTTTTTTCTGATGAAATGGCTCATAATACTTTTATATTTTAAACGCGCTCAAAAAAGAATAAGATATAAAGAAAATAAAAATTTAAAAACAATATTTTTTTGCTTATTAAAATTGATTTAAAATACTTTCAAACATAAAATAATACTATTTTTGATTATTGGTTTATTTAAATTACCATATTTTTGAAACAAAAATCAAAAATTAATGGCATTTCCTTTTGTAAAATGAACAGCAAGCAATATGGCGATTATAGGACGCTTTTACCAATTGGTTATTTAACCAATATAAATTAACCTGCAAGTTTATTTAAACCATTTAGTTATTTCCTTGTGTTTAAGTTAACTAATTTATTTACCCATAAGTAATTTAAAACTCTTTGGTTTTGGTTTCAATTTGATTACATTTAACACATTATAGTTAAAAATTACCAAAATTTAGTTAAGTTAAACTAACTTGTTATTTTCAAAATAACTAACCTAAAATAAATTCCCGCCGAACGTTCTGGAAAACGTTGCAGTATGTACTACATAGACAATCGTGTGGCGTTCAAAGTTTATTTATAAAGAGGCTTTATTTCTGGTACCTATTTAAGTTCCTAACATGTCAAGTATTCCTAACATAGTACATATTTTTCTATGTAGGTAACAATGAAAACTGCAAAACCATCACTTTTTTAACGAGTTGGTTGATTAACGTTAATTTACCATTTAGTTAAAATACATTTGGTAAAATGCAACTTGTTGGTTGAAAAAATATAGTTAAAATTAACCAAAATATAACAAGAAAATTAACTACTCTTTATAACTTCTAAAATATCCTACTTATTAACTAAGGTAAATTAAGGTTATTTTAAAAGTTACTATTAACTAAAAATTAACCATTTATTTAACTTGGAAGTATTGTTTCAATCATCAGTTAGTTTTAAAGTTAAATTATAGTAAAAAATAACTTTTAAATTAACTCTTAAGTAATAACAACTAGTTGGTAAATTTAAAGGTTTTTTTAGTTTATAATAACCGTAAAAAAACTAATTGGATAATTCAACTAAATGGTTAAAAAACCAAGTTAAAAAAAACGTCATTTAACTTAGATTTCGGTTAATTTACTTATAATACTAGTATTGTAACCGTTTGTGCTACTTGGGGCGTCCAAAAGACAAAAGACATACCTCGGATAACTGTCGAACTTCATCAGGTTGAGGATCTGCTTCTGCGCCAGATCGAAGGCGTTGTCGTCGGGATTCAGCAGCGAGTTTTCGGTGCGCTGGCGCGCCTGCGAGTCGACGTTGACCGGCTCGGGCGCGCCGTGGCACATGTGCTGCTCGTAGATGCGTTTGGCTTCGGTTCTGCGCAGCGTGCCGCAAGGTAGCCGCCTGTAGCGCTCGCACGCCGCCCAGAAGTATATGTTTTCTGCGCTGAATTCTTTCTTCAGAAAATTCTGAAACCGAAATGAATGGTTATGATCGAGTAAGTAGCATTTTTAGTGGACGAAAAGTAGCGGCAACTTATATACTATACTTGGAACTGTAAAGTGTATTGCCAAAATCTCTGCCACGTTCTATTACGTGGAAGTAACTAAAATGGGGAACACTTTTTTAGTCTGAAAAAATAATTCGAATATTTGAACATGAAAATATTTGGATTTTTAAGTCTTAGCATGGGTATATATCTTATCTTTAGAAGTACATAATTGGTTAAATTAGGAAAAAGTTTCCAAAAAGAAATTTGACTTATCATTTTTAGTTTTCTAGATATCGTAAAGACAAGAATGTGTAATTTTTAATTCTAATTCAGATCTATTAACGCAATTTTTTAGGGGGAATTTAAATCTGCCTAAATCTTTACCTTAAAGTCAAATCATTAGATGACGCTGTATATAATTATAAATATCTCAGTCGGTAATAATATAGAACTACTATATTTTGGGTCCAATATAGGACAAAAAAGTTCGCACGTTACTTTGGTGGTAAGATTTTTGGTTTTTTTTGTTAAAAGCAGGGCTGTGTTTAAATTAAAATAAAAAATATATCTTAAAAGTGTACTGATCAGTGTGTGGTATAAATGTGTTCCTCATGGTTTAAACATTGTCACTTTAATGCGTTTTAGTTTTAATTCTGAAAACAAACAGTAAAATTGCCAGTGTCCAATTACTGGTTGATAAAAAATAGAGATGGGAATCGGAAAGTTTCCATTTTAAGGAAACTTTCCGTTTTGGAAAGTTTCCAATTGGGAATTTATTTTCATTTTGAAAGTTTCTTTTAAGCTACCGGAAACATTCCTTGGAAACTTTCCTTGTTTTTTTTTCATTTAAATGTCAATTGTTTAACCGCTGATTTACGTTAAGGCCATGATACAAGGCCAAGAAACTTTGAATAAGAATTTAATGTGTGTTAATTTAAAGCAGAACAGAAGAAGTATAAATAATGTAAGTTATGTTACATAACATCAATGAATAAAATAAAAACAATAAACAAAGTTAAAATCATTCTTATATTTTTGTTGTTTATTTATAGGCATAACACAATGCCAAGAAAAAAATGTAGTGTTTGGAATTATTTTTACTTTACTTTTTACTTTTCAATATTCCTATATGTTACTTTGTCCCTTTTAATTTTTTTTACGTAATATCTAGGATTTACTAGCAGTGAATTTCTAATAGTAAACATTTTATTTTTATTTTGTAGGTTTCAGTATACAATAGGAATATTCCAAAGTAAAAGATACTAAAAATAGTATTGCAGTTACATTCTTATAAACATTTTTTTTATTTTTTTCTTAATAAAATTTGACAAAAAGTTAATGTGTTATATATTTTTGCAAATCCCTAGCATAAAAAAAAATATTTTCGCAATAAAAATTTTTTTTTTAAAACTTTCGGAAATTTTCGGGAATTTTCGATGGAAAGTTTCCGGGAATTTTCGTCAAATGGGAATTTTCCCATCTCTAGTAAAAAATGTAATTCTATTATTGGACAATATCCAATATCATCCTCTATTTATATCCCGGACATTTACCAGCCAATTCTAATGTAAAATTGTCCCCTAAACCCGAAAAGGCCGTCAAAAACTATAAGAGTTAAGCAGTTTTTGAGATATAGTCAATTCCATATTATATGTAAAATTGATTATATATATAACTTTTGACGACATTTTCGGATTCAGCGAATAATATTTCATAGGAATTGACTGCTAAATGTCCTGGATACAAATTGCTGTTGACGAGAATTATTAGTGGCTGCTTTTTTGCTATGACTTTTTGACTAATTCATTTTTATGGAGTAAGATATATAGTGATTTCTTCGTCACAGGACATCTTGCAGAATAACAGTGATTTAAATACAGTGCATGATAGAGAACATAAAAAACTAATGGCAACAAAATTAATAAATTCGGAAAATACTTTTAACATACCACCTGAAAAAATATTAGATATATATATAAATCGTCCTGTTCCGACCTAAACATTATAAATGCTTCACAAACTAGAGATACCAAGGAATTAGTAGTTACCTTCAGAATCCAGAAAAGCAATGAGGAATCCGAGAAAGAAATATATGATATTTACAAAAACGAAATAAAAAAAATTACCTAAAACAGCCATTTATCTTTAAAAAATATTTAACAATTTATGTTATTTGATGTTAAGTTGTTATGTTTATATAAAAATTGTGTCCAATAACTATGATTCTTGTGTCCAATTACTATATAAAAAATCCAATTACTATACTTTTTTGCATGTTTTTATAAAACTATTATTAAAATTCAAATATTCTTATTTTTAAGTAAACGTAAATAAAGTTTAAAGTGGACACTATATGATTTACCCTATACAACTATAAACAGTTTTAATTAAATAAAAACGAGGAATTTATTTATTTCATAAATATTTAAGAGCAAAAAAATCATACGAAACGTATTATTCTAATAATATATAGTTTTAAATTTGATTATTTGAAGTATTTTAACGTTCGAATATCCAAATATTTAAAAATTACAATATTTGAATTATCTAAATATTAATTAAAAAACTGCTCATAGAACGTGTTGAATATGTGGTTAATATGAATGAAGTCGTGTAAGTCGTGTAAGCAATTGAAAAATCAACAACAATTAATAGTATTTCGACATTCCCATTAAATTATAGAGGTTCTTTATAGGTCACATGTGAGTCATTAATTTGTATGACAAAAATATTAAATCGTTTAATTAATAACATCTTGTCGAATAAAAATGGTATTTTACCTTTAATTTAATAATATTTATGATAAGCAATTGTTGTACATATGTGCTTTAGATAATAGGGGGATTTTTTTGACATTTAATCATAATACATAACTCCGCCATCAATTTAATGTTTTTTTATTATTTAAAAAATATCGTCAAATTTTATTTTCTTTCTAAACATCTAAACGCTTTTCTTTATTAAATTGCATGTTTGAACACAACTTTCTTCAGTTATTTAAGTTGATGTAAGGCGCATATTTTTAACAATATGATTTTTACTTTGGCTATTGAAAATGTTCATCATGACGGATCTAGATTAAAACTGATTACAAGACTTAAAACAGCGTTTTATTTACCACTTTAGGTACAATTAACGAATGAATGAAATCCTAACCTTACAAATTGTGCCGTTTTTTTAAATTTTTTACTTCGTTTTAATTTAAAATAATTGTCGCTAATATTTTGCATTTTAAATATGTGTAGGTACTCTTTAAAACGTAAAAATTATGTTTTTGGATTTAAAGTGGAATTTTATTGAGCGTATAGGCCTAAGATAAAATAGTTTTCTTAATGGGTTTTAATAAGTACATTAAGGGTACTTACTATTTGTTCAAAATGGATTGATTTAAAATGAACTTAATCCTTATTTAATTTCGAGAGTATTAGAAAACCAGTATAAGACCAAATAGTTTTATTATTTTAATTTAAAGAGTAAATTAAATTAAAATTCAACTATGATATTATAAAATGTTAAAGAAATAATTTAAAAACTTAAAACCACACCAACGTATATTCAAATTTCGTTTAAACATAATAGTTAGTCATCATTTATTTAAATCTTTAATTATTTTAATAGGGTTCAGAAAATTTTGTATTTACGCTATAACAAATTTAAATCTATCAAAAAATACTTACGGTAAAACAGTGTAATCCTAGTGGATCTTCCAGGAGCTTCTCAAAGGACGAAGCCCATATTTCCGGGCCCTCTGGGCTTCCGCACTTGACCAACCCATTTTGTTCGCACTGAAAATCGTAAAAGCAATCGTCAACTAAATAGAAAACGCTCATGCTATTCCAAAAAACAAAAATGACACACACACAACATGATAAATAACCGAACGAAAAATAACACTGACAGAGGCTCTCTCAATGAACGAATGAAACTTACTCTCAATTGTTATCAGCCGTGTAATTGGTCAAAATGAACGACTGCATGGGTAGCGTGATGTAATCAAGTGGCCAGAAACAATGAAAATTAATAACATGTAAAATGCGGTGAATGTGTAATAGTTTGCTTTGAACTTTTTTTATGACTGGATCTAGGCTAGTTAATTATAAATTACTGTGTTTTTTTTATCAATAAACATTAAAAAATAAGAAAAATTTTCAATATATGAGAAATAGAAAACTTTCACTTAAATCAGCTTAAAAAATACTTTAAATTACTTAAAACTGTAACCAGGATGGTAATGCAACAAAAGAAAGTTCTAAAGTCAAAAATAACAAAGTATTTGATAACTAAGTTAAGCAATTTTTTTTATTATTTTACCGATAAATTTTTTTTTTACACTCAGCTGGTAACAAAATGTTTTTGTCATTAGATGGCGTTATGGCTGGTTTATTATGACATTAACCCTAATATTATTATTCCGTAAAATTTATAGGTCCGGTTTATAATCAAGTTCAAAAATTGAAGATGTCGATAATTCAGCATAACTGCATTACCAGTATTTTGACATATGACGCCTGTCATGAAATGTACGGAACTTATAAAGAAACTGTAAAAAACAGATTACGTATATTTACAATAAAAATAGTAATGAGATTATTTTTATATACAGAAAACTTTTTTCTGTTAATAAAATTCTCATTTACTATAATGAAGCAGCAATGTTGAGCTTTTATAAAAAAAATATTCATCCAACAAAGTAATAGTTGTTATCATATTGTCATGGCAATAAGAAATACTTTATGTTTATATTAAATCTTTGTCGAATTTAAAATGTTTTTGTTAAATCTATAGTTGTGTGTGAATTGCGCAGTTGTTATAGTAAAATTTGTTTATTTTACTATGGCATATTTGTCTTTTTAAATTACTATGGTTGTAATTCAAATTAATTTTATTTCAGTTAAAAAATCTTTGCTAATAGCTTACGTTAAGAACAATAACAAAAATATTTTATTGCTATAAAAAGCTTTTTTTAAGATTTACTATTGTTTTGCAATGGTAACAAAATTTTTGTTATTTCCCTAAAAAAGAGGGGGAAAGGGCCAGCGCTCTCATTTGTGAATTTAACTTTATAATACACAGTCTGTGTTACAATCTTATTGATTTCACTTGTGCGAGTGAAGTGTGGTAAAATCTAGCATGATAAAAATATCAAAAAGATCACTAAGAAAATTAAAATTTCGACATTTTCTAAAAGAAATATTTAAGGACTATTCTATAATTGAAGGAGACTTGTTGTTTAAAAAGAGAGTTCATATTTTTTCATTTTGTACATCATATAATATGAGTTAATTTTTTTGTTATAATAAATAATTTGTTTTAATGCTTTGCAATTATTTTAAAAAAACTATGTACCGAACACCCACAGTAGGTTGAAAATGTGACCATTGTTAAAATGAAAATAGTTTATTGAATTAACAATTAATTTGTTGTTAAATTTACGTAAATTTTATTAATATTATAAAAAGTTTTATTTTAAACTAAAAGGGATTTGTAAAATTTACAAAATTTCTATGAATAATACCATTAGGGTTCCAATAATACTACAAAACGTTTTTGTAAACGGTATAAAACTGTTTTTGGGCATCTGGAAGAGTGTTATTTTTATAAACATAACGTAAATTTACTTTATTATAATTAATGCAAATGCTATTACTGAAAGTAGCGTTAGATAAATAATTTTTATAAAAATGATCTTTTTGCCGTAACAAAAGCAATTGTTGGACGTATAGGGATCTTTACTTTATTAAGACAGACTACTTTTTTGTTATATTTATTAAAAAATTGTGATTTTTGAATAATTTAATTCTAATTAAAATCTAAATACGTACAGAACATAAATATGTAAAATTTACATCTTTAATTTTTGAACATTGTGTTACCAACATTTGTAAATGAAAAACAAATATATTGGTAAAGGACTCTTGTATTGTCAAGCAAAAAATAAAAACCTTTTTTGTAGAGCGTTTAATTCTCTACATAAATATCCAAATACATTTTCTGTATGACCTTTCAGAAGAAACAATTTTTTTTATAATATTATACACTAAACGATAATTGACTTATAGGCAGCAGTTTCCAGTAATTGTTTATTTTTAGATAATTATAACATTAATAAAACAAACACTTACTCATAGCAAGAAAATTCAACATTTTCATACCTTAAACTTCAACAACAATTTATTAATTAAATCCATAAAACTAAGAACAAAACCATATTATCACAGCACTGATTGGAAAACTGGAGAATAATACATAGATTTTTGACTTTTACTTTTAATCGTTTCTGATAAGAAATTGATAAAAATTTATCTTGATAAGTATACCTACCTCACATTAAATATTTTAATTGAGCTAAGAAATATTACAACCATAACAATACAGCAAGGTGAACTTTTATTACAAATGAGAAATTTTGTTAGTATCCCAACCAAATTATTAGTTACAAGCAAAAGCACATGCAATTATAATTCTTGGTTTTATAAGGGCATTCCACAGATTTTGCAAGTTATTAATTCGTTTTTTAATCTTTAAGGTAAACTAGCTACACCATTTTTTATTGAGTGTATGGTAATACTATAGTACATAATACATATAGTAAAATGAGAGATTCATTGTTTTCCAGTGGAATACCCTTAGTAGCAAAAATTTCAAAATACGAGGTGTGTTCAGAAAATATTGTGGATTTTCGTTTTTTGAAACAAATATTTATTTATCGTGTACATTAATGTTGTCGCCTTAAAAATAGTCCCCATTGGATATTATGCATATGTGCCAGCTCTTCTTCCAATACTCGAAACACTTCTAAAACTCGATCTTTGGGATAGCCTTTAGTTCTTTCAGCGATGCGCTTTTAATGTCATCTATGCTTGCAAAACGACGGCCCTTTAAGGTTCTCTTTATTTTTGGGAATAGGAAAAAGTCAGACAGAGGCATGTCTGGCGAATATGGAGGCTGGGGCATTATTACAGTATTGTTTTTGGCAAAAATGTTCAAAGTTTAACAATTTTAGAACAAATTTTGCTGACATGCGTTTCATACCCAAAACATTCGAAAAAATTTTATGGGATGAACTAATCGATATACCAAAATCATCAGCGACTTCTCTGATGGTTTATAACCATTTCTTCATCTTTTTCCATGTTTTTATCGGTTGTTAATGTGCTTGTGCGTTCGGGGCGTTCGTCATCTTCAACGTCTTCACGGTCATCTTGGAAACTCTTATACCACTTGTAAACTCTTGTTTTACTTATAGGCCTTTGTTAACATTTCACAGAATTTATTTCATTTTTAAGCAAAATTGGATACAAATAATTATTCTTTGATCATTTCTTTTAAGGAACCAAAAATCGCCGAGCTCATAAAACACGTTTAACCTTAGCGGCTGCCACAGACAAAGTAAACAATGAAAACAGCTAAAGTTTTTATCATACTTCGGGGGCATGTATACCAACATAATAAAGAAAACTTTATGACAACCGGACCCTCCGAACCCGCGTAATTTAACAACTCCCGTTATTTTCTGAACACACCTCGTAAATCTAAAATGATTTTGTACCTGGGGCACTACGTCTGGAGGAGCCGAAATAGAGGCGGGCCTGCGCACTCTCTGGGAAGTGACCCTTCTTAGGGACCCGTTCAGGCGTTTGAAATGCGGCCTTATGGGCATCAGAAGCCCAGTGCCCAACGTGCCTCCATCTCTACAGACCACATGCAACCCAAATTAGAATTAACGTTTGGTGACGGAACATTTCAAAAACAATATTTCGAAATGTTCGAGTTATTGTGTATAATAAATATGACTAATTTTGATAGTTGACAAAGGATTTTATCTTTGCGGTAATCTACAAACAAAATTCGAACTACCTAGGCACCTAATATGTTGTTAAAAATATTTTATAACAGTAATAAACTTTCTGCCATTGTTAATAATATAAACAATTCCATTAAAATTCATCAAACAAATACAATAAGGTGACTAATTTCCTGAAGAAGCGCTTCGACAATATTAATTTTAACATTACTCATACCTAATATAAGAATTTTGTTTTAATTTAATGATAATTCGTATTTGTACTATTTTAATATTTATAGTAATATTAAATTGATGTTAATATATTTAATTTGTTTGTTTGTTTGTATGTATAGTAGTAGACAGTATAGTTATTGGACAATTAACATTAATACTTAGAATAAAAATATTTCTAAAAAGTGTACAGATCAGTGTGTGGTATAAATGTGTTCCTCATGGTATAAAAATTGTCACTTTAATGCTGGTTGGTAAAAAATTAAATTACTGGTTGGTAAAAAATTTAAATTTCTATTATTGGACATATGTCCAATATCATACTCTATTTGTATCCCGGACATTTATCAGCCAATTCTTATGTAAAATTGTCCCCTGAATCCGAAAAGACCGTCAAAAACTATAAAAGTTAAGCAGATTTGAGATATAGTCAATTCCATATTATATTTCAAAAACTGTTCTACTTTTATAACTTTTGACTACATTTTCTGATTCAGCGAATAATATTTTATAGGAATTGACTGCTAAATGTCCTGGATACAAATTGCTGTTGACGAGAATTATTAGTGGCTGCTTTTTCGCTATAACATTTTTGACTAATTCATTTTTAGAGAGTAAGTAATATAGTGATTTCTTCGTCACAGGACATCTTGCAGAATAACGGTGATTTAAATACAGTGCATGATAGAGAACATAAAAAACTAATGGCAACAAAATTAATAAATTCGGAAAATACTTTTAACATACCACCCGAAAAAATATTAGATATATATAAATCATCCTGTTCCAACCTAAACATTATAAATGCTTCACAAACTAGAGATACCACACTTAGTCAGACCAAGGAATTAGTAGTTACTTTCAGAATCCAGAAAAGGGATAAGGAATCCGAGAAATAAATATATGAATATGATATTTTCAAAAACGAAATAAAAAAATTACCTAAAACAGCAATTTATCTTTAAAAAATATTTAACAATTTATGTTATTTGATGTAAAGTCCATGTGTCCAATTACTACATAAAATGTCCAATTACTATACTTTTTTGCATGATTTTATAAAACTATTATTAAAAATTAAAATATTCTTATTTTTAAGTAAACGCAAATAAAGTTTAAACAAACAAACTATCCTTTTTATATATTTATAAGAAAAAAACTAAAATCTTTAAAACTACGGCACATATAAATTTTAAATAAATAATATTCCTTAAGTGTCCAATAACTATGTGAATATGAAAATATTAAAACATTTCTTTTTATTTTCCTATTTTATTTTGGATTAATTTCTTATGCGATCCTAGGTCATTTGCTCGTCTTAATACTGGTAGTACGTCACAAAACAAGCGACCTTAGCAAATGAGAATAGACCGTGTTTACGTATACATACAAACATTATCCCAGAGAAATTTACATTTTATTTTCAATACAAAATTTGTTTTAATATTTTTTCTTTTTTTTGTAGTAAAATTGGATAAGGTGCTTTATACTTTCAATACTGGATTAAAAAAAAGGTATTCAAAGAAAACATTTACGGGGCAAAAATGAACACAAAATATTTACCCAGCGCTTTGGTATAACACCTGACAAAGACTCAACACTTTTCTAACAGAAATGCCGTCCATAAGTTTGTTTTTCTCGAACCCCGTCATCGGCAAATCAAACTTTTAAACTCACAAACGAAATAACTTAACACAGCCGTACATTCGAACAAAAGCAAAAAAACAACTGGAGCCCCGGCCTGCTGCGACGCTGTTAAACTTGTTACGACGCGCCTGCTGCGACGTTCAACTTTGACTGAACGTAGAAAAAACTACCTCTACATTATTAGCACCGGCACACTAAAACAATACGTGCTGGTAATCTAATCGTTGAGCAAATTTACACAAACAATGTTCACGCACCGGCAAGGAATACTGGTGTGATCGTATTACGTATTACTATAGTAATGAGTAACAAGACAGGTATCGGGGTGTGAGAAGAAGAAGAAACATGTGGGATCTGGATGAAATATTTCTGGGGCGGAGGGGAACCTAAAACTTTAACACCGCACAATGGTAGTAAACCACAGTTTTGCGGAAATTTTTCGAAACTTTTAAAAAGATTAATCACTTGAATAAGGTACAAAAATATTTATTGTAAAAGCACCACTGTATAATGGAAGTCTAAAGAGAGGTGGAGAGCCAAGGGTAAGACGAAAAAAGAAGAGGTAGAAGCGCAAATACAAACGCGACGCATGGACAGTACTTGTTATCTTTAACAGCTGTTTTCTAGAAAACATGATTTCTAACCCTAGGTAGCTTTCCGTGGTCCAGGTCACATATGTAATTGAAAAACAAAACTTTTTTTAGATCATTTAAAATTTAACTTAATAGTTATAACAACATATGCTCTATGTATTTCTCGTAAATAAAAACAAAATAAAATACAAAAATAAGTCAAATAACTATTTTAAACTTTTTCTCTCAATATTTATTAATAAACTAATACGTTGGCCGTGTCCAACCAAAATTATCAATCTGTCATTTTCGTCTAGCACACGTTATTATCTAGGGATATTTGGTTTGATTTATTTCGCAACTAGGGTAAACCACATAGTTACACTAAGGAATATTATTTATTTAAAATTTATATTTGCCGTTGTTTTAAAGATTTTAGTTTTTTTCTTATAAATATATAAAAAGGATAGTTTGTTTGTTTAAACTTTATTTACGTTTACTTAAAAATAAATATATTTTAATTTTTAATACTAGTTTTATAAAAACATGCAAAAAAGTATAGTAATTGGACATTTTATATAGTAATTGGACACGTGGACCATAGTTATTGGACATACAATCACTATATTACTTACTCTCTAAAAATGAATTAGTCAAAAATGTCATAGCGAAAAAGCAGCCACTAATAATTCTCGTCAACAGCAATTTGTATCCAGGACATTTAGCAGTCAATTCCTAGGAAATATTATTCGCTGAATCCGAAAATGTCGTCAAAAGTTATAAAAGTAGAACAGTTTTTGAAATAGAAATAGAAATATTATTCGCTGAATCCGAAAATGTCGTCAAAAGTTATAAAAGTAGAACAGTTTTTGAAATATAATCAATTTTACATATAATATGGAATTGACTATATCCCAAAAACTGCTTAACTTTTATAGTTTTTGATGGTCTTTTCGGATTCAGGGGTAATTTTATACAAATAGAGTATGATATTGGACGTATGTCCAATAATAGAAATTAACATTTTTTACCAACCAGTATACTGGTTATAATTGGACACTTGCCATTTTACCGTTTGTTTACAGAATTAAAATTAAAACGCATTAAAGTGACAATGTTTAAACCATGAGGAACACATTTATAGTATAATAATAAATTTTATACCACACTGATCTGTACACTTTTTAGAAATATTTTTTATTGTAATTTAAACACAGCCCTGCTCTTAACAAAAAAAAAAACAAAAATCTTACCACGAAAGTAACGTGCGAACTTTTTGGTCCTATATTGGACCCAAAATAAAGTAGTTCTATATTATAACCTACTGAGATATTTACTAGTATTAATGTTAATTATCCAATAACTATAAAGTGTCCGATAACTGTCTTTGTTTTTAAAGTTAATTATTTAAAAAAAACTCATAATTGTATTGTTATTTAATATAAGTATTTTTTATATAATTAGACAATAATTCTACCTTTTATGGTTTCTTATCTTTGTTTCTGCTCTCCTCGAGATTTTCTCTGCATTCAACATACTGCTTTATTTTTGGTTCATATAGCTTTTTTTAATTTAATTTTTTCTTTGCAATGAACTTTATTCGTTTCACATAACATAATAATTCGTTTTCACAACTCATATTATTATTAGGATTTTAAATGACTGCATAAAGAAATGTCACTGCAACTGTCAAAAGCGAAAAGCGTTACCATGGAAACCAACTATCTACAACTCGCAATTTTGACAAGTTTATTTTGGGTTTTTGCTTGGAAAGGAATTAAAGACTTTGGTTTCAATCTTAAAATACAATGGTGGGTTGTTCTGCATTTGGTAAAAAAGTTGCTCTCATTTAATAAATGGCATTTATTAAGCACATTTTCAGCGGTATGATTCCGCGTCCCCTTTCTTTCCTTGTCTAAGGTTTAAAGCATTAACCAAATAGATAAAAACCTAATACATTAAAATTATGTGTAAAACATCGAAATATATCTAAAAATAACCGGGATTTTTATTTATTTTTATTAATTTCCTACGGTTTTTTTTTAAATTTGAAATTAAATTTTGAATGGTTAAATAAACGGTTCATAAATATTAATGTTAGTTGAATCAATTAATGGGAACAATATTTATACAAATCTAATAGAAAATCTTTCCGTTCGTAAATTAAATAGCAATTTGTGTAATGTAGTAATGTCGCTTTGTTTAGATAAAATATAATTTTGAAACTTACTTTAAATATTTTACATTTATTTATAAAAATTATTTTATGTGAATATTGGCGGATGCTAATTTAAAACAATCTCCATTTATTTTTTAATTTTACTGCGCAAATATGTTTAAGGCTCAGAAAAAAAATCAATTTCGCACGCTGGGTAAATAAATGAAATACATAAATACCTTCGATTTCTTTTTCTTTTAATTAACATCTGCGACTGACAACGTTACACACAAACTGAATTGAGGACAGGAAAACGTATATCATAAATGCAAATATATAAAAATTTTGATACGATAATAATAAACCGCATTGAGTTTTGGTAAGACATGGAGGGGTTTAGTTTTATAAAAAATGCGCACTATTTGTTAAATATCAATAAGTCAAATAGGTTACTTTATCGCCCTTTTTAACGAATTTTAACTCGCGAACATTTGACGCCATTTTTTAAGTTTATTTTAATTGTACCTCCTCTTTTTTGCATAATAATTAATATCTCCGAAACTATCTGCCCAAAAGGTATAAATATGCAAATTGCTTAAATCACAATTTCATAGTCTATTCGAATCTTCAATAAAAGGGGGTGCAATTTTTTAAGAAGCAGGTGTAGCGACAGCGGTGAGAGGTAACCCAAGTAACATTTTTAGTTTTATTATGGTCTTCAAGAACGCTTTAAAACAAAATTTTGTTTTAAAGCGTTCTTGAAGACCATAATAAAACTAAAAATTTTACTTGGGAATCATCCCCATCTACCGTCAACAACTATATGTCTTGCAGAACTCTGCCTACCATAAACTGTATGACCAGTTTGCGGGAAACATTTTATAAAGTATAAATTAAAGAAAAAATGTGTAGCTGTTTCTATCTATAAATACTCGTCTGCGCATGCCTTTCTGTAAACTCGCCATTCCACATAAATATTCGAATAGTTTTTGCATGAGCAGTTCTAAATTTTTGGATGCTACCGGATGTTATAGAATCTGCATTAAAAAACTTTTCTATTCTATTTTTGTAAAGTAGACAGTTATCGGACAATTAACATTAATACTGTAAAAACAAGAGTTCTATAAATAGTTACCTTAAAGTCAAATCATTAGATGACGCTGTATACAATTATAACTATCTCAGTCGGTAATAATATAGAACTACTTTATTTTGGGTCCAATATAGGAGAAAAAAGTTCGCACGTTACTTTGGTGGTAAGAATTTTGTCTTTTTGTTAAGAATTACAATAAAAAATATTTCTAAAAAGTGTACAGATCAGTGTGTGGTATAAATGTGTTCCTCATGGTTGTCACTTTAATGCGTTTTAATTTTAATTCTGAAAACAAACAGTAAAATGGCCAGTGTCCAATTACTGGTAGGTAAAAAAATGTAAATTTCTATTATTGGACATATGTCCAATATCATACTCTATTTGTATCCCGGACATTTATCAGCCAATTCTTATGTAAAATTGTGCCCTGAATCCAAAAAACCGTCAAAAACTATAAAAGTTAAGCAGTTTTTGAGATAAAGTCAATTCCATATTATATGTAAAATTGATTATATTTCAAAAACTGTTCTACTTTTATAACTTTTGACGACATTTTCGGATTCAGGGAATAATATTTTATAGGAATTGACTGCTAAATGTCCTGGATACAAATTGCTGTTGACGAGAATTATTAGTGGCTGCTTTTTCGCTGTGACATTTTTGACTAATTCATTTTTAGAGAGTAAGTAATATAGTGATTTCTTCGTCACAAGACATATTGCAGAATAACAGTGATTTGCAGGATAGAGAACATAAAAATATAATGGCAACAAAATAAATTCGGAAAATACTTTTAACATATCACCCGAAAAAAATATTAGATATATATAAATCATCCTGTTTCGGCCTAAACATTATAAATGTTTCACAAAGTAGAGATACCACACTTGATATGATATTTGAAACAAACTACGTATTTCAGAAGTCAGACCAAGGAATTAGTAGTTACCTTCAGAATCCAGAAAAGAGATGAGGAATCCGAGAAAGAAATATACTTATGAATTATATGATATTTACAAAAACGGAATAAAAAAAATTACCTAAAACAGCAATTTATCTTTAAAAAATATTTGTTGTTTATATAATAATTGTATACAATATATGTCCAATAACTATGGTCCATATATACTTTTTTGCATGTTTTTAAAAAACAAACAAGCTATCCTTTTTATATATTTATAA